TTTTTACAAAATAAAAGTGCTTTTCGAAATTTCTGGTGAACCTAGGTAAAAACTAAGCTTTTTACAGCTATATTTTTAAAAATCAGTCAAAAATCGAGCTTTTTTTCTATAGAAATAAGATTGTGCCAATTTTTTAGGAATTCATAAGAAAAAAATCAAAATAGTTTTTGTTTCTTCTGTTTTTTTTCTGTAGGAGAGTTTTTCAAACAAAACATCAATAAAGGTTTTTTTATTTCCGTTGTGTTCTATAAAGTAGATTTTTTAAATAATTTCTAGAAAATTATGAGCAAATTGTTTTTCTCAACCCTTCTCGTTTCTATTGTTTTTACAATATAAAAGTCCTTCCTAGGCAAAAACTAAGCTTTTTTCTGCTGTTTTTTTCTTAAAATCCCCCTAACCCAATTTTAACAAGGCTGACATTTTCCTTGTATATCAAATTTTCCGTTGTTCCGCTGGCCCATTGTTTTAAGTATAACTTTAACATGAACCGTACTGATTGCTTATTGTTGTACCCCGAATCGTTCACTTTGAATGCTGAGGATGGGCTTTATGTTCCACAACGTCCATCTCTAAATAAATTCTCGTCTTTTCTAAATAAAATGGGTACCAGGTTTCCTTTTAACTAAATATTCATCATTAGAAAGTTTTTTTAATAAGAGAAAAGTTTTTCCATAGTTGGTAAGAAATTGCTAGCAAAAGCTCAAAGAATTTTTTTTTGTTTCTGCTGTTTTGTATAGAAGATCATTTTTTGACTGTGCCTAACAAATTATGAGAAGGAAAAGAAAGTAAATAAAGAAAATAATAAATATTTTTTGTAATTTTATTAAAAGAATGGTTTTGACTACGCGGGCGGGATTATTTTTTATAATGAAAGAAGAATGCTTGTCAAAATTCATGTACGTAAATAAAGTTTTCTCTGCTGTTTTATCTCGAGAGAAGTATTTCTGAAAATTTCTAGAAAAATCGTCGGCAAAAAACAAAGCAATTTTGTATTTCTGTTGTTTTATGCAAAAGCGTAAGGTTTAGACAATTTATGAGAGATAGACCGACAAACGTTTCCTGAAGTATTTTTGACAATTTCGAAGAAATTTTTCCAAAGCACAAGTTATCTTTTTTTTGATGATTACAACAGAGTGATTTTACTATACTCTACGGGAAATAAGGGCAAATGGTAAAAATTATAAGTTGTCTTTTCAGGTTTACATTAAAAGAAAAAGTGCCTGACAATTCTCCTTGCTGTGATTGATCCTTTTGGTAGTCATCATTTTCTGTCTTGACTGTTAACTCGTCGAAGTTTGCGAATTTTCGGCAAATTTCGATGAATCGTGGCCAAAAGGACAAGGTCGTTCATTTCCTTTTTCCTGTTTTCCAGAATTTGAAGCAAAATGTGTGAAGACGTTGGCATAGTGGGCAAAAGGCAGATTCTTGGATCTACGCTTGTTTCTATGTTGTCCTACCGTTTGTCAAATCTGTTAAAAAGTCGAAGTTGTTTTTGAATTTTGCTAGATTAGCCGGCCTTGGTGGCAGTCCTCGAGGGCTAATGCGACGCCTTTCCGTCAGGGGTCGTACATCGAATTTGCCGTCCTTGGGAATTTGAAAATAGATTTGGCGCAGTGGTTGCGCAGTTGCCTGGAACGGCTGTCCGCCCGCAGGGATTGCTCGCTATTACAGCGGACGGGTCATGCAGAGGATGTTAAAAGGTTAAAGTAGAAACCGAATCACTAGACCCTTTGAAGACATCTAATTTTTTATTTGTTTTTCCCTCCTGCTCAAAAAATCATAACTTTACTTTCGTATAATCCCATTTTAAAATTTTATATAGGTTTTTTTGTTTTAAAGAATCAGCGCATAAATTATGTGAAAACCTGGAGCAAGTTTTGTCGTGTTGCGTGATTTGTCATTCGGTTCGGCTTCTTGCGTCACTAGAGTTAAGTTCAATCCTGATAAAAGAACAGCGCATTTCATACTACGTTTGACACATCCATTTACCTTTTGATTATGTTTATGTAACATCGGCCTAAGATTATTTGCCCGAGGGAAGGTTTAATAGGTTTAATAATGAAGTCTCAAGTCCCCCCTGTACGTATTATTTATAAAAATTGAATATTAAAGGATCAAATAGAAACTTATTGTTTGTGTTGTTTATAAATTTTCGAGGAAAAAACTGATATCAAGCTGAACTGGCAACCTTCGCTCTTCACTGTCAGGAAACCTTGACAGACAGCGTGGTCAGGGAAAATAACTGACAGGTTGAAATAATCAGTACTGATGGCATGCCAGTCTTAAGTTTATAGTTGCTTGGATGATCTGTAAATAAAATCTATATAAATATCAGCATTGGGTATGGCTGAATGAATGATAAATGTTACCATTCATCGATTGACTCTTATGGTTGTTAACCTACCATGACCGAATCATTTTACGAGATGACCGATTTTACGAGCAAACTAAAAGTGATCTGTACGGATTTCCTTCTTACTACTCTACCATCAACTTTTATGCATGGCACAACTTTTTTAACCTCTTGTCCAAAAACGTCAGCATTGTTAGATAGCTTCGAAAAAATTTAAAGGTTCAAAAATTCATTTCACGAATATTTGTTTTTGAACCTGTTTCATGTATCCCAAAATTTCCAAATCGCTAGTAAGGAACACTTCTTTGGATGAGCAACGTACAAACAAAACATAGTAATTTATTCTACAAAATATTGGCTCAACATAATCAAAATATTATTAACATCCATAAAGTAATACTAGCTAATATTGGCACGAAATTGGAATCAAACTTGGGTTGAATTAAAGAGTAGAACATAACTAGAAATTTGCTTCAGGTGCAGCTGAAAGCATGTTGCTTATGCACTATTCAACTCGTCCTTCCATTTACTTTCGCTTTTTTTCCTTCGGTCTGGTTTTTCTTCAATTCTTTAAGAACAACTGTTTTATGTTTTTTTGTTGTAAATACTGCTGTTGCCACTTTTGAGGGAGCTAACCGTATGCCTAACATTTTCTCTATACTTGGGAGAAGTGATCCACCTAAAAGCCTATTTGTATCGTTTTATTGAGTTAAAAGTCTCAAAAGTCTGCCACTGATCATCTGTCTATTGCCTCTACATTATATTATGATTATTCGGAAATCTTGTGATGCGGTCTGTTGTGATGTAGGTTTCAGAAAAACATTTTCTTTATCGTGCCAACGTTTCGATCTTTATTGAGAATTATTAGTTTATTGCGTGTTTCGCAGAAAATAAGCACTTTGAGTGAATAGAAATACTTTGATTGAATATAAAAAATATTTTTTTTGCATTGTATAAATTCACATTTTTCCACATCCTTCATTTATTTGTTAAATTTAAACAATATTTGTAACTCCCAGGCCCTGAAGATGATCTCAATAAAGTTCGAAACGTTGGCAAAATAAAGAAAATCACGTCACACCAGACCGCATCTCACGATTTCCGAATAATCATCGACTAACGGTCACTAATCACCACACATTATATTATGAATTCATTTTATATTATGAAGCGTTATTATGCTAATTAAGATATATTTAGGCAAAGAAAAAATAGTCTTAGAACTTTGCGAAGTAGAGCACTCAGACCCCATGCAAAATATTCTTATCAGGGCAGCATAGTGATCTGTGTATGTTATCTCACCCAATAGTGGAGATTATTGGTAGAAACGAGGAAACGTCTGTTGCATTTAATGCTTTGTTGGTTTTCCTTTCATACCATCTAGCTAGACTTGGTTAACGTGGATTTCAGTAGCTGAATGTCCTATTATTGATCATAGATCGATATGTCAGATATGATTGTTATTTTTTGATCTGTAAAGCAATTAAGACACGAATCTCAAAATTATTCCTGTGTTCTTTCCGATAACAAATTCTCAAAAATCAGAACAATTTAGGGTAAAAATATTGATAAGTTAAAATTCAATCAAAAGAAAAATTACAGGGTTGGGTTTTGTAGTCCAGTTTTCCCAACATTTCAGTTTTAAGACATTATATATCCTTTATTTATTTAAGTCGAGAGGTAAAGTATTATTACTGGTACTCTTGTTACTAACTTGTAAATAATATGTATATACATGTATATGTACAGTAAATTAATAATTGTGAACATGTAAAAAAATCAACAAATTATTTAGCGGTCTCGGGAAGTGCTAAAGAAAAATATGACCGAGTTTACTTGAAAATACTAGGTTTTTAGAAATTTTTTGGTAATTGATAAACTTTGATAGCTTTTTCTATATTTTTATTGCAATCTGCCTAAAAACGTGCTGTAAAATGGTGTAGTCATATAGTTGATTTGAGCAAGTAGAAAGGCGAAATAAAAATATAAAAGACGAAAAATTTCAACATTCAAATTTTTTTGGCGAAACCACTTAATCATAAGAAGTGATGTACGTGTACGACATTTTGAAGTGTAGAATCACCAAAAAAAGTTTGGTCGAAATCAGTAACCCACCAACTTCATCGTACCCTTGTTAGTCTTCGTCGTAAAATATCGTTTTGTTATAAATGTTTGTGTGTAGAGATTAGTGACCGTTAATCGAGAGTTATTCAGATATCGTGAGATGCGGTCGGGTGTGATGTAGGTTTCAGAAAAACATTTTCTTTATCGTGCCAACGTTTCGATCTTTTATTGAGATCATCTTCAGGGCTCAAAGTATTTGTTTTCTGTGTAATTGTGCCATCCTTGCGTGTCGTGTTGAGAGCTATAAATGTTTAGTAGCAAATTCTTGCCATTGCCTGACCCTGTTTATAACCATGCACCAGTACAGAATATGCTGGCTAAATGAAATACCAAGCAGAAAGTGTCTTTTACTCATTAGATTAATGCTCAATCTGTAAAATACAACAGATTTTATTCTGCAATTTATTCCTGTATTATACTCGTGTATTTCAATTGTGTTATTCCTTTACTAAAACTGTTTAATTATGAGTTTTCCCTCTTGGGATCTGCTGAGCAGTTAACCTGTGGTCTTTTTGTCTTTCAGATCGCTTCAACTTTTCGCCATTTTAAGTGGTGGTTTGTTCTGGGTTTTAAGCATGGTGAGGCGGACAAAGCACCACTGAAAATGAACTTGAGTCTATACATTTCTGACAGCTTAGTCAAGTCATAAGCAACGTGTGACGGTGACACAGAGGCGAGAAGAAACCTGGCCGACTGACCAAAACTGCGAGGATGAGCAGACCAAAATGGCCGGGTACTATCACATAAACAAATGAAAATTGTTAGATATTGTTCCACAGTTTATTCGTAAAATAGCCCATGACAATTTGAAAGGAATTTTAATAAAATAAATTTTTGCTGGATAAGTGTAAAAAGTGACTTTGATGGTAGATTGTCACCGAGTAAAATATTATTGTAGTCGAATTACATAAAACGGAAAGTGTTTCTTTTAAATATTAAACTGGTATCAGTTGGTCTTTTGTTGAAGCAACTCTCAGTCCTTGGGCCAGTTTCAAAAAGGCCTTGAGTCTCTTTTCTACCCTCGATTCTCTTAAAGCTGGTAGTCGAATTAAATTTTCCCCTCGGAAATTAATCAGATCTGCCTTTGTGGAATGTTACCTGTTGTAAAGGGTCGACGCATGCGTTTTAGGGAAGGATCGATTTTCCTCGTGAGGAAGCCGTGGTCAGGGCCGGGGCAGATGACGTCAAGGCGTCGCGTTTATCGCACGCCTCTTGGCCGATGCCGCCTCCGACAGACGGAGCAGTGCTTCGCACGGACGAGCACGGGTCGGCGTTTCCAGTCCCATTCGGAAAAGGTTCAGGTAAATTGAAGGATTGTCACATGGAAGATGGAACCGTATCTGGTAGAACACGTGCAACTTGTACACTTTACTACTGACTAGTAAATCTTATGTACTTCTTGTGTGAATTTTAATGTTCTTGTATAAGATTTATGTTCACTTTAATTGCTGACATATAGCAACGATGATAATGCAAAGTTTTGTCCTGACCAGTGTCCACATGACTGGTTTTCACTGACTCCTTCAACCTCTTCTCTTTCTTCAAGACTGTCTGAACTTCGAATTCCAACCAATTACTGAACCTGAATTCCCACAGCAATAAATTTCTCATCGCTGTTTTTTGAATAAACATAGCCAATACAGTTTTAAAGACGTCAAGTCGTGAAAAATAACGTTAAATATTGTTAAAAATTCACCACCCTGCATTACATCAATAGCCAAATCTTTACCTATTGAATATAATTTAAATTAATTATTTTTGAATTGTAAAGTTAAATATAAAGTCAAGAATAAATAGGAAACCTAGTAAAACTTAGCTTGTTTGTTTTACCTAACGTAATTTGCCTTGTTTATATTTAAAAAAAACTTTTCGTTTTGACAATTCACGTAATTTCAAAACTCTGTTATTTTTATTCAAAAAAAAAAAAAAAAACTTTTGCTTTGTACATCACTGAGAATTTGTGCGACGATGATAAATTTTCCGACCTTGGGGATTATGTAATTATTTGACATCGGAAAAGGTAATTAATAACAGATGAATGACGTGATTGTTCGGGAGTCAGAAATTTCAAGAACGCTCGGCCGTCAAACAACCTTTTAAAATAACAATAACAACAAAGGCTGTTATGTCAATATATTTTATGGCCTTCCGAATTACACAATTGTTCGACAGAACTGTCGTTAAATTCAATTCCATTGTGTGATAAGGTCAGTTTCAGTTTCGATTTAAAATTTGTAGTTATACTGATAACAGAGACTGTCATACAGGTATAAAAACATAATAGTGAATTTTAATCTAATCTTTATATATATTTATTTTATATGCAGATGTATGGGGAGGTGAATCGAATTAGTTCAACGGATTTTAAATATAACTTGTTCTAATGTCGAATAGTTTGCTGTCGTTAGCCAAACTATATTTATTTTGTACTCCTCTCTCTTCCTCAATCTCTCTCTCTCTCTCTCTCTCTCTCTCTCTCTCTCTCTCTCTCTCTCACACACTCACTCACTCACTCACTCCCCCCCTCCCTCTCTATGTACCTACTTTTTCCTATCTTTTTATACTTTTCTTACTCATGCTCTTCTTACTTATTTATATACTCTTACTCATACTCTTCTTATTCTTACTCTAGACATCCCTATTTTTACATTGCATTTGTGTATTTATCTTTTTCTTCTCTCTCACTCTCTTTCCCTCTCACTCTTTCTCTTTCTTCTCACTCCCCCTACCCCGCTCACTCTTATTGTCCTTCTAATCTTCTTTTTCTTCTTCTCCTTCTTCTCCTCCTTCTCTAGTCCCCCTCTCTATTCACTTTTACTCTCTCCCACACCCACTAGGGCTGCTGTGGGTGCCACTTTTTGAATGCCTTCATTTCAGTTATTTTATAGTTAGATGTGTTGAAAACATGTGGTTATATTGATGATGATCACTGGTTATTGTCATTTTCTATTTGGCAAAATAAAACTCCAAATAATACTATAATTATAAATTGTCATTTTTTTGTTTCAGACTGAACAGGATGCACGTTATGGAAGGAGACTGCGAGAAAAGCAGTGGGTGTTTGACTGCAGAAGGAGCGCCAGAGATTGGAAAGCCGCTTGAAGAGACTGATGCCAAGACACCACCTGTAGAAACCAAGCTGGTGAACGGCGACCACATTGAGGATGATATTAGCAATGTGGAACAAGTTGTCAAAGTTAGTAGTCAGTTGAGAATTTGATTTCTTCCATGTCCTCGAGTTGTAGTCTGATTTGTTAAAAATTTAATAATACATTTCAGCGTATTACCGATGATGTAGAGAAGCGTATTCAAGAAGAAGTAGAAGAAGATGAGGAAGAAGAAGAAGAAATGACTTGTGAAAAGAAAAAAGAAGAGAAGAATGAAGACAAAGATGAGTCGGATGAAGTAGATACCAAAGAGGAAGACAAAGAAGAAGAAGAAGAAGAAGAAGAAGAAACCCAAACTGAATGTCCGGCTTCATTGTCCAAAGGTGAGGAACAGACCTCTAAACCACCTTCTCCTGAAGATAAAGAGGAAAAGGTTCAGAATCAACTCCAAACTGAGGAAGAGGAGGATAAACTTACAATATCTAGTAATCATGTAAGCCAGGTAAATTAAACATTTGTTCACATTGACTTTCTACTTTTTATACTAATGTTGAATTAAAACTGATTTGTTTGGTAGAGTGAAGAAAGGCAGAAAAGAAGTATGGAAAGAGATGGTGAAGGAGAGATGAGCAGTGGCAGTGAAAGTGAAACTGGTAGAAAAAAAATAAAAATGGAACCTGAAGTGGAAAATCAGTCCAGTGAAGTATCATTCAGACTACAAGTAAGATGATGTGCTTATTTTATGCCTCGTTACTTTTTAAATTTGATATTAATTTCCTAATGAGTATTTAAAAAATTATTGTTGAAAATGAGTATTTTTCAATTGTAGAACTTTGGCAGTGATGAGCGTGAGAGAATGATACAGGAATATATCAGCGATTGCACTCAGAATTCAGAAGAGTTAGACCAAGCGGCCGATAAACTTCAAAAAGAAGTTGAAGCCCTAACAGACATGGCAAGGGTCAAAGAAGTAGAGTGGAATGCCCTTCTAAGGTTGAGGAAGTTGAAAGAAGAAATGCTCGAAAGGGTTCTAAGGCGAAAAAGAATAAACTGCCTCGACGAACCTCAGTCGCACAAACTAAACAACTTTGAAGCACCTAATATGCATAAAGTAAGCATTGAAGCTTTTAATTTCTCAGACTTGCGGGCATACAAGTAAACATTTTGTTTGATTTCAGAACCTTGCAGCAACACAAGGGAGTCAGAATGAGCTAATGATGGTTCCGATTGTTTCTTCTAGTCCAGGTCTGATGCATTCACGTGGTCCACCAACTTCCCGGAACACACCTATGCCTCCAGACTACAGCAGAATGCAGAGACCCATTCTGCCCAAGCCTAGCCCTTATGCTTCCTACGATCAGCCATCTAGAGAAGGAAGAATTGGAACATTTGTTGATGTCAAATCTATCATCGCCGATTTTAGGTATCTCATCAAACTATGTCTTATATGTTTATATTTGATTGCCCCACATGAAATGTCTGCTTTCATTATCATAATTAAAAGAAAATTAATGAGTTAAATATTGTTTCCAGTGAATCTATAATTATCACTTGTTAATTCTCTCTTTAATTAAAGTTGATTGTTCATAAAGGTGATAGTTGGTCTGTGAATCAGTGAACACATGTTTAACATGTTTTCTGAGTCCATTATGGTGGCCATTTCATTTGTCGCCGAGAATCAAATAGATTACATGACATTTGAAAAATGGCGAAAAGGAGGGAAAATTCAAAAGGTGGGGTTGAGATGGGAAGTTAGTGCCTGAGTGGATTGGAGTCACGATAGCTCAAGTGGTAGAGTAGCGGCGTATCAAGCCAAAGGTCGTGGGTTCGAATCCCGCTCGTGACACTGACTTTTTTTATCTCAACTAAAAACCTTAATTAATTGAATGATATTAATTGGTCAAGCAGACCACGAAACTAGTGAAGTTGTTTAAACTATTTACTAGAGCCCGCAGTAGATCAGTGGTCAGGGTGATAGATTCTTGACTCGTAGACCCCACAATTGTGGTTTGGGTTCCTACTGTCACCCCTGGTCCTTTTTCCTTGGTGAAGTTTATAAGGCTGTTCAAACAATGAATGAATTAAAAATTAAAAAAACAACTATTTTTTAGTATTTTAAACTCAACTTATATATAAGTTATAGTTATTTTAAAAAAGACTGAAAAAATTGCAATTTCAGGGCTAGGCATCCAGAGTATGTACCTCGAAGAGGGAGGAGAATGCGTGGGGACAATACCCCCAGATTAATGTCACCGCATCCTTCATCCCTAATCAGTATGGCAAATATGGCATTAGGTTCTGGCTCAAGAGTGAGGACAGTGCCAGAAGCTCCTTACAATTTATGTAAGTGGTATTGAAAAATTACCAAATTCCGCTTACAGACAGCAATTTCTCTTTTGCAGCACAAGAAATACCTCATCCTTCGAATACAGATGTTTCACGGGACAGTCTAGATAACTACAAGGACCACTTTAAATTAAACAATAACAACATGACCAAAGGACCTCCTCCATATCCAGAAGTTACACTTCATCCGGTGACCAGGCCAAGTTCACCGCCATCATCCTCCCTCCTTCATGGCATACTTACAAAGTCAACTCCTTCACCGGCCAACAGGCCAGCCTCCTTTTCGCCTACTTTGGCAAGGCTATTAACAGCTCCGGAAAGGCCGACCAACCCTGGTCCACCACCACATTTCAGGCCTCAACAACCTTCTCGAGTTTCCATTGCGGAAATACTCAAATCCTCAAAGGTATTATAAAAATAATTCTAATGAAAGACTGTAAATAACAATATTAACTCAAATTTATATATTGATTTTCTAAAATTGTTAATTTTTTCCAGCAGCAGCAGAAGTCCAGAAATGAAATTACAATCACCCCTGTACCTGGAGGCCCACCAGTGAAGCCAAAAGACGACGTCGTTCTCCTAGTAAATATTAAACACATTTTAAGGTTAATCCTCAATCTTCAATTCCTTATCTAATTTCTTCTTTTGGCCCAGGATGATGATGATGCCGAAAGCGGTGATAGGTTAGTTATCGACGAAGGGGTAGAAAATGAAGATGTTCCTCAGTGTCAAGGCTGCAAGCAAAAATCATCACAGTTCGTTTGTGCTGGTTGTGGGAACCAATGGTATTGCAGCCGAGAATGTCAGGTAACAGCCTGGGAAGAACATTCTGAAGTGTGTTCAGGCTAAATGTAGTCAACTCACATTAGCTAAGGAACGTGCCAAAAGGATCTCACTGGTGCAACTTCACTTCTGCCAATCTGTTTGTTACCAGTTTTAATTTATAAACAATACCCAACTGTGTTGGAGAAACTAAAGCTCCAAACTTGCATTAGTGTCTATTGATTATTTATACTGTTTTGTTAGTAACTATTGTATAATTTAAATAGTGTTTTTTTTTTTTTTTGAAAATGCACATCTGTTTTTGTTTCAATTTTTAACTATTGCTATTTTTACTTGCGATAATATTGCATTAAATAGACCAATTATTTTATTTTTTTGTAATTTTTGTGAGTTCTGAAATGTTATTTCTAAAAAGTGGAAACATTTTTATAAAAGGGTCCAACCTTTTGTTATGCGGTGAAATTTTACAATTTGACATACTTAAAATTTTGCACCTTTTTTGTTGTTGTTGTAATTGCCGAATACATTTTTAAAGTTTAATTCAGATTTCCAAGGGATGATGTGAGATGAGCGTAATATTTATGTATATCAATTATATTTTGGAGTATAAAAAAACAAAACAAAAATCTGATGATTGCAATATCACTTACTAAAGTTAGCAGTTATCATGAGCTTATTGCAAAAGTGCTCATTCTTTGAAAGAAGCAAAAAATAAATAAAAAATGTAGTATAGTAATATTTATATCTTAAAACTATCAAACAAAAAATATTTCAATAAATGTTTCATGTAACATGCTTTTATTTACCTCCCTGCAACAACCTGTGATAAAACGATGGAACAATTGAAGTGTAAGTACATATTTAACTAAAACTGAAAATAAGCAGACAAAAATGATCGGAAAAGAAACTAAAGATTTATTACTCTGTAGGCCTCTAGAAAACAATACACAATTAACCTTAACATCAAATAAACAATATATTTGTGCTATGTAATTTGAATGTTTTGACCATTTTAGTCGACTATCCTCGCTGGTGTTTGGCCGTCTTTAGGTGTGTCTCTAGAGGTGATGAAAAGCTAAAATGATAAAAATATTGGGGTACCATTAAATATTACCATTTTAATTATTATTATAATTATTTGTGATGTGATTGCTTCTGATTATTTTGATTCGCCTATCCTAGCTGCCTTGTTAATTTTTCCACATTTTGCCATTTTCCGTGGCTGGTCATTGTTATAAACAGTCAAAGACACAAAACCCAACCCTTCAATAGTGCTTAAACAGACACACATCAGACAAACCAAAAAAGTAAGGGTAGACAGTACAAAAACATTGACAACTATTAAGATAAACTGAGTACCCAGGACATCTTGGCAATAATAAAATTTAAAAATTCAGTACATTGAATACTTTGACTAGTCAAGCATGGCATTGTAACATATATAAGTGGTAGTAGACGATTTTTTTTTTTTTTTTTCTCTGCAGGTGTAGTATAGTGTGGCTCGCTCAGGACTAAAGAAATTATACGAAAGGATGCTTGGGTGGTTTTGGAAGTAGAAGCAAGCATTGCAGCAAGGGCCTCCAGCCAGAAGGTCCAAGAGGGGTCAGTCTGATGGTGACAGGCATGGAGCGGTTGCAATAGGATGGTCAGGATATGAGTGTGAGAGGAAAATTTTCTGGTGGAAAACGTTTCCTTTTTTTTATTTAATAAAAGTTTCAGGAATTAAATGTTAAGTTTCTATCGAGTGATAAAGTTTCTTTTTTTATTTAATAAAAGTTTCGGGAATTAAATGTTAAGTTTTTAATGAGTGATAACGTTTCCTTTTTTCATTTAATAAAAGTTTCAGGAATTAAATGTTAAGTATCTAGAGTGATAACGTTTCCTTTTGTATTTAATAAAAGTTTCGGGAATTAAATGTTAAGTTTCTAACGAGTGATAACGTTTCCTTTTTTTATTTAATAAAAGGTTCGATAATTAAATGATAACTTTCTAACGAGTGATAACGTATCCTTTTTTATTTAATAAAAGTTTCGGGAATTAAATATTATGCTCCTCCTAACGAGTGATAACGTTTCCTTTTTTATTTAATAAAAGTTTCGGGAATTAAATGTTAAGTTTCTAATGAGTGATAACGTTTCCTTTTTTTATTTAATAAAAGTTTCAGGAATTAAATGTTAATTATCTAAAGAGTGATAACGTTTCCTTTTTTTATTTAATAAAAGTTTCGGGAATTAAATGTTAAGATTCTAATGAATGATAACGTTTCCTTTTTTATTTAATAAACGTTTCTGTTTCATTTATTTTGTCTTTTTAAATGCCACTCAAGCTTTACAATTTTGTGTTGTCTTCAAGATCTCTTATTTCTAAGGGTTAAATTCCCAGCGAAAAAATATTGTAGCACTCGATCTATATATTTATTGGTACAGCCCCACAAACTTCTCCAGGCACCGGCACTCATTACTTCGGTTTACTGCCATAAAACCGGTCATAGTATATGAAATTTAAGTCGGGAGTTTGGTTTAATTAGGCATTAAGGTAAATGCGAGAAAATCAAATAAATTGATGAAAAATTAAAACAGAATATTCAGGAAAACCAAACCATCTTGGGCTCAAAGAAAAGCCAACAATTTTCATAAAGCAATACTATGTTGGATAATAGTTTCATTTTTTGTGTTTATTCAAAGAAAATTACAAATTTTCAATCATGGGCTGCAATATGTGCATAGTATGATTCGAACTGTAGACAGATTGCTAAAAATATGTTTTATATTTCGTCAGTAATTTGATATAAAGTAAAGTATATTCTTACCATACTGGAGAGCTTATTTATTGGGCATCATGGACGATGGGCAAACTAAATTTTTTAAATTAATATAATTAAAATTCCATGGGCTATGCATGATTCGATCCCAGAACTGCTAGTACAGCAATTACGAGTTAGACAACACTAGGCCGCCCAGATCCCATATTATTTATGGTCAATCAACCTTGGAATATGAGGGTAGAGTTAGCATTCTTTTTAAATTAAATTAGACCTGATTAGAGTAAATTAGGAATTATAAAATTATGCAAATCTGATTTTTCACATATTGCCACCATAAAAACCATTTTTTATGGCTAATCAAAAACCGAACATTATTATAATTTGAATATATTTCACCAATTTAATAACTATTTAATAATAGATTAATCATAAAACCAAAATGTAACTTTTAATGTGTAACACATTTGGTAGGGAAGTTAAAACAAATTCTAGCTGTGCTCTCAGCTGTTAAATGTGAAAATATTCTACGTTCGAATGTGAAGATTTTGTTCTGACAGCTCTGAACCATGGTCTTTCATAATTGTAAGCTGTTTTCTTTTTTAAATTACGTTTAGTTAACAATTTTGCATGTTTGAAGTCCCAAGAAGTCTACCAATGGAATTTCTCCTTTTTTTAAATCAATTGTTTGACTTTGATCAGCTCCAGCTATTTTAAACAAAAGCTATGAGAGTTTTAATTATAATAATATAATAAGGGGGGGGGGCATTGGTGGCCGCAACGGTTTAGGCGTTGACACGGTGCTCATAACAGTAATGATTATGTAGCTATTGTTTTCCTCTTAAGGCCTTGCAATCGAGAAATATTTTTGCGATTACTACAAAAAACAAAATAAAATTGCCTCTTCGCCTCTTTGCAACATATGAAGAAATTCATTATTTTTCGTGGCCCACTTGACCAATTAATATCATTCAATTAATTAAGGTTTTTAGTCGAGATAAAAAAGTCAGTGTCACGAGCGGGATTTGAACCCACGATCTTCGGCACGATACGCCGCTACTCTACCACTTGAGCTATCGTGACTTCGATCCACTCGGGCACTAACTTCCCATCTCAACCTCAACTTTTGATTATTTATTTAACATTTATTATGAAGAAATTAACACATCCCATAATCTTGAAAGAGGAGAGAATGTGGTTAACATCCCATGACCAAAACATAATATTGACTTTGATATTTGAACTACTTAATAATGAAAACAATTATTGGTTTAACTTGCTTTTATCATTTAAGAATTGCTTCACTGTTCACTTTTTAATGTAAAATTGATGAATTTTTACAAAAACAAACAACTTTTTTGCAACAATACATTTGCTTCATAATTTTTAGTTATGTCATAATTTATTTCATGTTAAAACTTTACTTCCCATTTTCCTCATCAATTTCTCGAACTGGAGGAATGTGTACAATACTGATAAAATCAAGTCTAGTACTGTCATTTTTAAAATTTTCATTGTCTACTACTGAAACAAAAATGACATGTTTAAATAAATTATTTATCAATACAATTCTTTTTCAAATAACATTTTTGAGATAGGATTGTGTTAAAAAAGGGTATATTCACCAAGGATCCCTACTGGGAAAACCCTAGAGTCAAAAAGCTTGAGAGGAGAGGCAGCATAAACTGTGAACATCCTCGTAAGGTGTCCACTACTGGTACCTTATGCTTGTATTACAAATTATTTTTGTGTTTTGAAATATTTTGCGATCAAATGAGTAGTGAGTGTACTTACTAGTCTATAAAAGAAGCTAAAAATTGTAATATAACAAAATTAATGGACTTAAAATTTTAAAAAGAAGGCATTAGGAACTGAACTGAAAAAAAAATTGAAAGTTGAAGTTCATTTTTAGTCTGGCTTTTATTATGTATTAGACTGTCTCATTGTTTGTTTTCCACTAATGACAAGAGCGAAAAGCTAAAAAGCATCATACAGACTAAAACGGTAAGGATTGGCAGGCCAAAAATGATTGGAAGAGGCCAAGTTACAAGATTTTCTTCGTGAAGAAATCTCACAGTAAACTATTATAAAATCATATTAATAAAAATTGTCTTGTCGGGAGAATATGGAATTACACAAAAATTTGTCGTTCAGTATGTTAAGCTTTTTATACATCAAAACAAGGCAAAAAATCAAAGTTAAGTAAATTAAATCATTTCTCATCTTTGTGAGACCACTAACGTATATTGTCTATCGAATGCATTTCCTCTTCTTGCCATCTTCAGTGATAAGTCAGATTATAAGCAGGGTGAGACACCAACACAAACCCACTGATGAAAAAGGCAAAAAGCAAAAACACAACTGACGGATTAAAATGGTAAATATTGGCAAGTAAAAAATTATTGGAAATAATCAAGTTAAAACATTCCTCTTGAAGAAATTTTTTGATATACATTATGTTGTAATTATAAATACTATAGGTACATTGTTATAATAACATATATGTATAAAAAACTATCTTATTAGATGAATATAGTAATTAAATTATAATTTGTCATAAATTTTTTTTTTTGAACATTTTATATAACAATTAATTAAGGTTTTTAGTTGAGATAAAAAAGTCAATGGCACGAGCGGGATTCGAACCAATGATCTTCGGCTAGATACGCCGCTGCTCTACGACTTGAGCTATCGTGACCTTGATCCACTCGGACATCAACTTCCCATCTCAACCCCACCTTTTGAGTTTTCCCTCCTTTTTGCCATTTTTCAAATGTCGTATAATCGGATTGGATTCTCGGTGACAAATGAAATGAAAAATGGCAAAAAGAAGGGAAAACTCAAAAGGTGGGGTTGAGATGGGAAGTTGATGTCCGAGTGGATCAAGGTCACGATAGCTCAAGTCGTAGAGCAGCGGCGTATCTAGCCGAAGATCATTGGTTCGAATCCTGCTCGTGCCATTGACTTTTTTATCTCAACTAAAAACCTTAATTAATTGTAATACATTAATTGGTCAAGCGGACCACAAAATTAGTGAATTTTATATAACTAAAAATACATAAAAGTATGGTGAGGCCATGGCCTGTGGAGAATTTGAAAAAACATAATAAAATAATATTAACAAGGTTGTGAATAGGTCACACCCGTCTCATGAATGGTCTCCTATTAGCGGGTAGAAGTCAAAAACACTGCCCACTCTGTTGGAACCCAGTAACGGTGAGACACCTATTAGTAGACACCTATTAAGCATAACAGTGACTTCAAAGATAATCTTCTTGTACTTGGTACTTAAAATTGATAAATGCATATGGATACTTATAACCAACCACATGTGGTATATCTCCATTTTGCAGTGTGAATGTATTTATTAGCATGGGTGATGAGGTATGTCTGGGTGTGGCTGTGACTGAATATCGAGTAGCTCATAGACCCACCAAATTAGTATAGGTAATTACATATTTGATGTGTGATGTGAGGGACAGGTCACATCTGTCAAGGTTGTAATAATACTGCCGAGATGCTCCGACCTCTCCAATATGAATGTATTTATTAGCGTGAATGTTTTGTGTAAATGGACGTGGATGTCGAGGAATATCGAATACTCCACAAGCCCGTCAAAAGGAAATTAGTCTAACGGGTGAATGAAATGCTATAGATACTGTATGAATGTATTTATTAGCACAAATGGAGGGAAATCGGTAGGATTATGACTATCCTACTGACTTTTTATTTAGTTGTAGGGGCAGGACCTCAGTCGTGCACCTGTACTCTGAGCGCTGCCAACTGTAGATTAAGTAATCATTTTCTTAGCGTGAGTGGGTATTTGTTATTGAGTCTGTAAACGTTGAAGTATTTCTAACAAACCACGTGTGGGATGGTAGGAACAAGCATCAAGACACTCTGCTGTATGGTTGGTAGGAAACAAAATTAAAAGAAGTGATATAGTGAATGAGTAGAGATAAAGTTGAAATGAAACAAAGAAAAATGCGAGAAGCTGATAGCCGGCCAGGAAAAAAAAAATTAACTAATCTTTGACTGCCCCACGAACATGTATTGTCTATTGAATGCATTTCGCCTTCTTCAGTAAGACTAAAACAGCAAGGATAAGCAGGCCATAATGATTAGAAATGATCAATCTACAATATTTAAACACATCATTGACTATAGTCTATGGCTAATGGATGACATACTACATGTACATTGACTTTTGACAGATTTGATTCCTAGTATTTTTACATTCAAAAAGTCCTTCCTGTTAGCATAGGTTCATAACTATGTTTATCGATTCAGGTGGTGATGGCATTTGTATTCCTTTTGGTTTCCTATCCATCAGGAAATTTCAAGCGGTGTTAATGTCGTTCAGTTTGATGTGCTATGTATCAACAACAAATCTCCTTGGCATTATGGACTTTATCAATGAAGAACACCTAAGAGAAGTGAGTTTAATAGAGAAGTGGGTTTATTAGAGAAAAATGTAATCCATATTGCAGGGTGGAAGTGATTGGAACATCCTTGGAAGCAGTGGTTTCCAGTTGGTCATCACGTCATTCTTCATTGGCTACCTGATGTCAAGCATTCTCTCGGGAATAATGGTGACCCGGCTCAATAGTGTAATAATGATAAGTAGATGCATGCTGGCCAATGCTGTAATAACGGTCTTTACTCCGTATCTTGTCCGATCATCGAGTTGGAGCGGTTTCTGCTTAACCAGGTTCTCCCTCGGCATCTCGAGTGTAATAGCATTTACACATATCACTTTAAATAAATTTCGTAAGAAAACAATTTACTGAATTATAAAATTTTTTAGGGTTTCATTAATTCAAGCATTTTGGACATTCTTGCAAACTGGTGTCCCAAGATTGAACTTATTGTCACTGGCAATATTGTTTTCTCTGGTAAATTGAAATAATAAAAGCATTGAATAATTTTTTTAAACTATTAACTGTATTTAAATACAATAAAAAATCCTAATTATCATTTAGAGATTATATGTTTTGTTCTAGGCCACTATTTAGGAAATATTGTTTCTGCTGTTCTTAGTTCCACCATAGGTCAAAACGAAAATTGGCCTAATGTATTTTATGTCTCCAGTATCCTCTCATTTACTTCTGCTGCATTGTGGCACTTGTACGGTTGTGAAACACCTTATAAGTGTTCATATATTACCTTGGAAGAATTATTATATTTACAAGCGAATCTCAAAGATCTCTCCCTGTCAACGGTCTGTATAAATTATTTTGTAATGATCAATTTTTGAAAGTATTTGTTTCAACAGGAAAAGGTCATTCCTTGGAAGGGTATATTTCAAAATAATTATTTCATCGTAACAATGATATCGCACTCTGCGAATAATTGGTGTTTTTGGTTTCTTGTATTTGAAATCCCAATTTACCTCAAAGACGTCCTTCGAATAGAACCACATGAGGTAAGAATAATTATAAAAATTAAACAAGAAGCTCTCTAACTTAAATTAATCATTATTTTAGGTGAAGACACTTATCATTTTGCCCTATGCAATGACTTATGCCACTTCTTTCATAACAGCTTATACGCTTCAAATGTTTATCTGGGGGAATGTTACTAGTATCGAGAACTCAAGAAAGTTGTGTAATACAATTGGTAATAATTGCAAAAGTTTACTTCAAAATTGTATTTAAATGACAAGTCTGATTATTTTGGGCTCGCACGACTTTTCAGCTTTGTGGGGCTTGGTCTTCTGTTTCGCTGTCATTTGGCTTACTGTCACATCTTTCAGTTCTGTATCAATGTATGCTCTAGCCGTTGTATTGAACTACTACTCATTTTTCGGCCATGTAATAAACTACATCGACCTTTCTCCAAATTTCTGCGGGCTCTTAATAGGAATCGCCAATTGTCTTGGGAACATCCCGACTGCGCTTGGATACCTTTTCGTTTCCAAATTGGTCTCAGATACGGTAAAGAGCACACAGATAAGATGAGAAAATTTTTTTATTGTTTTTTTTTTTTTTCTAGTCTATAAGTGAAGAGTGGAACCCCGCCTTCATAATGAGTGCAGGTGCAGCATTTTTAGGAGGGCTGTTTTTCTTAGGAGGAGGCTCAGTTGAAGTACAACAATTTAACTACATTAACACACAAAAAATGTATAGATCAACAAGAACAAGTAGATCAAGTAAAATACAAATTTATTTATTTTTTAATTTGCTTTAAATACAAACATACAGCATTTACCAATTAGTTTTGTTTTTTCAGTGTTCAGCTTAAGAGAAAGCGTTAACTCTCAACCACAATCAGGTGTTACATTGTTAATTTAATTATCATAATCAAACCAGAAAAAAATATTTTCTGTTCAAATTTTTTAATAAAAATGTTTTAATTAAAAAAAAAGTTGCAGAATCAATAGACAGTATGAATGTACAAGAAGGTATATTGTTTTTGATTTTTTACTAATGGATAATTTATTTAAAATATTTTCCGTTTACAGCATCATCTGCCTCTATCATGAAAGAGAAAGGTAGTCAGCTTTATTGCTTTACAAATTACTGAATGGAGCTTCAAATCTCCTAAAATTAAGTCAGACTTGTAATTGTCAAACTTTTTATTTATTTTTTTTATTATTTTTTTTTAGTATCACCATTCAGAAAAATGGGAAGTGCTATTGGGAAAGTTATACCTTGTAAGAATATATCATTATTTCGTTTAATGGTTGCATCATGTTAAATAAATTTTACAAATTTAGATACCATGTTAAATCATTTGAAGACAAGGGGCTATTCTCGTAATTATGATTCTAACAAAGTTTACTGTTATATGCATCATTTATACAATTTCAATTTCTCTTTTTTATAGCAACCTTCATCAATTTGGAGTCTGAATTGTCGAGTAAGTAATCTCTTTAAAATTATTATGTAAAAAAATGGCAAAAAGGAGGGAAAATTCAAAAGGTGGGGTTGAGATAGGAAGTTAGTGTCCGAGTGGATCGAGGTGACGATAGCTCAGGTGGTAGAGCAGCGGCGTATCAAGCCGAAGATCGTGGGTTTGAATCCCGCTCATGCCATTGACTTTTTTATCTCAACTAAAAACCTAAATTAATTGTAGTATATTAATTGGTCAAGCGGACCGAAATTAGTGAAATTATGTAAACAAATCATGTGTTCTGCTATCAACTTTGATAGCATGGTTTGATCTTCACCTTTTAAAAATATTCTTACTAAACCAATACATTTACAATAATTAGCTTCTTAAAAGTTGTGTAATCTCTCTTTGTAATATGTATGTTGTATATATTATTCTATATACAATCGATAGATTTTTAAAAGTTGGATCTTTTGCAAAAGACCCACCGATAAAACATGTAAAAATGTTGGTAATGATATGTATTTTTCTTGAAAATCAATATATAATCTTAAGATTTGTCAGACCCATGATAGAAAATTCAAATAAAATATGATGGCCAAAATAGGGCAAAGAAAGGCAAAGGAATCTCTACAAAAAGTTCAAAGTATAGCAACAACTCTTTGCATCACTAATTATTTTAAAACAAAATCCACAGCCACAATGGAAAGTTTAAACCCTTGGCAATTGAAGGATTGATAATTCACCAAACAGCAGAAAGAAAGTCTTGAATAACTGTCCATACCAAATTTTAGATACTGTTAAAATAACTGCTTGGATAAAACTATCTCTGACTTATCAGAGAAAATACTAGCCTTTTAAAATGTTTCAACTTAATTGAAAAAAGAGCTAAATGGAAGATAAAATGAAAGATGATAAACCTGGTGCTCTTCTGAGGTATACAGGCTCTGAGATAGGAAATGGGGTTTTAGGCTTAAAGAGGCCTAACTGTTTGTACCACATGGCCTTTAATTAACTTCATCACTAGCCATATTTTAAACCAAACGGCTGAACATAAAAACATGTACACATGAAATAACTAACAAATATCTCAGGGGCGCTGCAATAATAATACTATCAGATAGCTTGGTAGCTCTAAAAGCTCTCCAAGCCTACAAGATTGAGAACAGCATATACAAACCAAATCCATTTTGTGGGATAAAATATAGCCACATTAAAAAATAATTTGAATCTTTGATAACTAAAGACATGAGGCAAGCAAGAAGACTAATTTCAAAAACAACCTAACGGGTGAAAGAGTCCAACACAATAGAAAGGAATAAGAGATAAAATACTTTTAAAAATGGGACTTAAACTGATGACTAATGACAATTATTTCTTGAAGAGATAAGGCAACAGAATATATCCTAAGCAACTGCCCAGCAATAGAAAAGGACTATGGTACCAAGAAAGCCATTCTTGAGCAATGAAGATCTCAACACCATACAGCTGAGAATAATTTTCTACTCCATTAAAAACCACAATAGATGATAGCTTAAGTGCAAATGCTGCTACAACTATATAAAAATTATATTCACTATAATGGCCTATTTGCCATTCTAGCCGTTTTGTATTTGAATCCTGGCACAACCCATGGAAATTGAATTGGTAATAATTTGACAAATGTATTGTAAATTCGTTTTACTCCTCATCTGTGGACCTAAGTAGTAGTTGGACGTTGTGACCGCCTGTATAACAGGAATTACTTAACTTTACTTTTAATTAATTAAAAATATGACGCAGTTAATCATGATGTATTTAATAATTGCAGAAGGCCCGATAACACAGTCGACAGCAGTTGGTAAGCCCTCTTTGTCTATCTATACATGAATTAAAACTGACAGTTTCAATGTGAATTATATAATTTTATTTTGTTACAGTAACACCAATCATACACGACATGATCACTAACGCTTCTATGAAGCAATTGCAAATGGAAATTAATACATTACGTAAAAAATCATTGTATTCCAAATGTGAGTGGTTTTATTTTTCTGCATTTGATTTTTTAACAGAAAGCTATTTTTAGTTATTTTGTTTTCAATTTTTCTTTTCCAGTAATGAGGAGCAAACTAGCAGTAGCTTCTGATGGTAAGAATGTTGACATTAAATATTAAAATACGTATTTTTATTTATTTATTTTATTGTTATTATTTTATTTTATTATTTATTTTTATTTGNTTTCATTTAATATATTATTATTTATTTTTATTTGTTTATTTTTAATGAGAGTTCGCAACAGCAGAGGTTATATTACCCCTTGGGTATCAGTGTTTTTGAAAAAAAAAAAGAAGCCCATTTGTAAGTATGTTGGGTTCAAATGCAGGGTCACTGGATTCGAACTGGGAACCTTTATCTTACAGAGATGAGTGCTGTGTCAACACTTTAAGTGTTACGGCCACCGACGCCCCCTTTGTATTGTTATTGATTTAAATAGCACCTGGGCCAGATCAAAAGCAGAAAAGTGACAGTTCCTTTTTGCCTATCTTTCCACAGTTTTTACTTTATGTCCTGATCTGAATATCATTTTACAATCACATCAGATCGCTGAATTCTTTAACACCACTCTCCCCCTCTCGCCATTTTCTAAGCACTCAGTCATCAAATTCCAGATTGTCGTCTTTTCAAAAGGAAATCCTCAGGCTAGGATCTTATTACTTCTAAAATCCTCCAAAACCTTTCTAAAAAGCAGTAGTGCACATTACAATACCTAACCTAAACTGCAATAATTCACACAATCCTTAATAATCCCAATCCCACCCTATTCACCTATTTTACTTACAATTTTTGAACTCTTCCTTAAAAGACTAATTACAATATTTGATCCGCAAAACTTGATTTCCAATTTGGTTTTCTATCCTTCCATTCTACTATTCAGAAGGGTTTTAAAGTAGATGAAATCACATCCTCAGCTATAGAAATGTAATACTGCTCAGCTCTAATTCTGGACATTATGGAAGCATTTGACCGAGTGTGACACCTTGATGTCCTTTCCAAGTATGTATTCTCCCTCAACCCCAATTTTTCATGCACGAAGTCAGTCAATGTTGGTGTACCACAAGGAAGTATCCTAGGATTAATTTACACAATCTACACTGCTGACATAATCACACATTCTAATCTATCCAAACACTCCAACCCTACTCTAGAAACAGAAGCAATACAGAACACCTAGATCTCATGTCTGACTGGTGCATTTGATAGCAGATCAAGTTAAATTAGTAAACGTCAACACGTGATATTTACGCTCAGATGTAGGGATTACCTAATTCCTCCATCCAACCAAGTCTAACTATGGATCGACTTGGAACATACAAGAGTAAAAATACAAAAACAACACATTTTTACAATTTGTTAGCAAAATAATGCTAACAAAACACTCAGACCAATTGAACTTATGGAATCAAGCTGTGTGATCAGGCCAAATCCTCCAACATCCAATGCCAACCCTTTCAATCCAAATTCCTCTGCTGCATCCATAATGCTCCCTTCTAAGTCAGCAATCTAATGATTCTCAAAGACCTAGACATCCCTGGAAATGGAGAATCTGTTTACACTCTATCACTTAACGCATGAGTTCAGGCACTTTCCTCAATGTCCCACCATTGTATTCCACACTGTCGGAAGCGATGATGGCCTTGTCACCTTCTAACCTTACCCTATTCTAAATCCCAATTAAATGAAGGAGAGCGGTTCCAGCTCTGGCTGGCCTCTCTCCCCATCAACTCTGACAGATCTGATTTGTACATATGTACATGTACTAATTACTCTATGTATATTTTATGTACAGATAGCAATAAAGAAATATTGATTTAGCATTACTAAACTAAGTTATATCCTATTATACAAATGAAACTCAATTAGTATTTTATTATTAGAATTAATAAATTAAAATTAAATATGAACTGTTCAATACAAAAGAGATTTATTTTTAAGTTTTAATTATTTAAAAATCAAATATTAGTCCATTTTTTTGATGGGTAAAGGATTGATAGTGATTGAAAAATCATACATTTTTGTTTATTTGTATTATTAATAACAATGAAATTTAGTTGTGGTGGTAACTTTCATTATTTCTGATTACAGAGATGGTTGGAACAACTTCAGATTCACCCAAGGAACTTGATGATGGTTATTACTACCCAATTACAATTTGAATTATTCTTATATTTATTGAGATTTATTTAATGCTTTTATTGTTTGTTTTGTTGTATAATAATTATTTAATAATGTAGTGGCACCTGGATTAAATGAGAAGCTAACAAACCGAAGTAAGGAAAATATCATATTGTACTTTTTTCTTTTAATGGTTACGTATATCATAGTATGCTTGTCATGTATTTATTTTTTTAAATAATTAATGTGAAAATACATTCTTGTGTTTCTATATTGAATTTGGGAGGCTAATTTAAAAATTATTACTACAGAGGCATCCACATCAAAACAAATTTCACGCGAGTCACTGGTAAAACGAGGTAAATTTAATTGTACACTACCAATTTCTGCTTATCCAATTTTATATTAATGTTCTTGTTATATGTATTATTTATATTCTTGTAATACATAATGTTAATTCTGCTTTGAGTTTAAACATGGACAGTTTTACGTTAACTTTGAAATTTTATGTATACAGATCTATCTCTATTTAAACCAGAATCTCGTGAGGCATCTACATCAAAACAAATTTCACACGAGTCACTGGTAAAACAAGGTAAATTTAAATGTACACTACCAATTTCTGCTTATCCAATTTTATATTAATGTTCTTGTTATATTTTTGTGGTTTTATTATTTATATTCTTGTAATACATAATGTTAATTCTGCTCTGAGTTTAAACATGGACAGTTTTATGTTAACTTTGAAATTTTATGTATACAGGTCTATCTCTTTTTAAACCAGAATCTCGTGAGGCATCTACATCAAAACAAATTTCACGCGAGTCACTGCTAAAACGAGGTAAAATTAATTGTACACTACCAATTTCTGCTTATCCAAATTTATATTAATGTTCTTGTTATATTTTTGTGGCTTTATTATTTATATTCTTGTAATACATAACGTTAATTCTGCTTTGAGTTTAAAAATGGACAGTTTTATGTTAACTTTGAAATTTTATGTATACAGGTCTATCTCTTTTTAAACCAGAATCTCGTGAGGCATCTACATCAAAACAACTTTCACGCGAGTCACTGCTAAAACGAGGTAAAATTAATTGTACACTACCAATTTCTGCTTATCCAAATTTATATTAATGTTCTTATTATATGTTTTGTGGTTTTATTATTTATGTTCTTGTAATATATAATGTTAATTCTGCTTTGAGTTTAAACATGGACAGTTTTTCGTTAACTTTGAAATTTTATGATACAGGTCTCTATTTAAATCAGAATCTCGTGAAAAACTTCCAAAAATAGGTATGGGTGAATTCAGTCCATAGATTATTTTTATTCCAGAATTTAATAGACTTTTAGGCGACCATGTCAGCCAAGTCGTTAACATGAAATAATCTTGTTTCTTAGACCCTATGGTCATGGGTTCCATTCCCACTGTCTCCCTTCAAATTTTCTTTTTCACACCCCTTCCCCCAAAAATATGATATATGTATACAAACTATATGGAATCTGGCTAAAATAAAAGTAATGTATAAGTCCTTCAGGGGGCAGGGACACTTTTCCAGTTTTCTTTCTTCAATTTGATTTTTACGGTCTCATCATTTTTTTCCTATCTTAAATATTCTTTCTCCTTTTATTCCTTTTTGTTGTTATAGATTTTTTTTTTTTTTAATCTGTATATCTGTTTAAGATTCATTTAATTATAATTACTTGTAGTTATGGAATTTTGCAATATTATTTTATTTATATAATAAAAAGAAAAAAAAATACAGCTTTCTAAACTGAGTCTTTGTCCCCATGAAATTAAAGATTTTTGAATCTTTGATAGATTTAAAAAGTGGCCAGATAAGTACCAAGTATATAATTAACCTCTCGATTGTTGCCCCAACAAAGCAGGAGTCTTTGCTGCCCTCTGGGTCCTTTTTGGGCTGTTTTTGATTTGATGAGTATTACCAGACCAGAACCATCTCAACATAATCTGTCTGAAATTAGCAGATTCAACATAATCAAAACTCGTCCTTGCCCTAACCTTGCTCCTACAGGCTACCATTTCAACCAATTCATAGCCTACATCCTTAATCTAATTTCATTATAATATAAAGGGGAAGAAAGTTGAATTGTAAAATTTCTCTACATGTCTGATATTGAACTTGTAATTTGGTTATTTCTGATCACTTTTGGTTTGCTTATCCTCGCTGGTTCGATCTGTCACATAAGTTTCAGCATTACTACCCATGGATGGTGAAATATTTGACTGACCAAACCAGCAAGGGAAGATTTTTTATTTATTTTTATATAATTTTTTTATATTTAAGTTGGTATATCCATGATTGAAAATAAAATAAATTTAATTACTTAAGGTTTTTAGTTGAGATGAAAAAAAGTTAATGGCATGAGAGGGATTCGAACAGTGGGGTTGAGATGGGGAGTTGATGTCCGAGTGGATCGAGGTCACAATAGCTCAGGTGGTAGAGCAGCGGCGTATCAAGCCGAAGGTCGTGGGTTCGAATCCCTCTCGTGCCATTACCTTTTTTTCATCTCAACTAAAAACCTTAATTAATTGTAATGTATTAATTGGTCAAGCGGACCACGAAATTAGTGAATTTAATGAATTAACTGAAGTACACTTCACTAAAGCTCTCCGTCGCCATTTCAATTGTCGTTGAGAATCCAAACAGATTACACGACATTTGAAAAATGGCAAAAGGAGGGAAAACTCATAAGGTGGGGTTGAGATGGGGAGTTGATGTCCGAGTGGATCGAGGTCACGATAGCTCAAGTGGTGGAGCAGCGGTGTATCTAGCCGAAGGTCGTGGGTTCGAATCCCTCTCATGCTATTAACTTTTTTTCATCTCAACTATAAACCTTAAGTAATTGTAAAGTATTAATTGGTCAAGGGACCATGAAATTAGTGAATTTAATAAATTTAATTATAATTACTGATCTAGAAATAATTTGTACTCAGCCAAAAATTCACTCACCCCAACTGATTTATTTTTTAAATTTATTTAAATTTGATCATTGCACATTGCACTTTATGATAATAAAGTAAATATTAACACAGAATTATGAGTTCAATGTGGAAACCATTATATGAATTTCTGATTATTAATCATATAATAGATAGCTCTAAATCATAGCTAGATGTTTTACCAAAAGTTGAAAGTAAACATTGAAATTAGAAACACCAATTCAATGTTATAATTATTACGTAAATGAAAAAAAATATATGTATATATTCATATAGGAGTGTATCTGACAAGCTACTAGAAGAAGGTATGGATGATGTAAATTCACAAATATTAATACTTCATAAAACAATCCATCATCATTTTAGATTTTGCATCCCCTGAAATTGTAGTACATATTTTAATTAAAATGTGCAAATTATTATGTCAATTATTGATTTTTGATACAGATCGATTCAAACCAAAGTTGAAAGTGCGTTCAATATCTAAAGAGCCATTGGAACAGTTACAAAAAAAAGGTATGAATGAATCAATATTACTATATGTAATAGCATTATAAAATAATCCATGTTACTTTGCATCCACCAAATTTGTAATATTTTCATTTTGCCAATGATGTTTGACTAGGAGCATTTGTTCATTCCATGTGATATTGAGAATAACCCCGTTATATTTAGTGGTCTGATTGACCAAATTACTTCTGTAAATTAATTAACATTTAAGGTTTTGGTTGAAATGAAAAAAGTCAGTGTCACGAGCGGGATTGGAACCCACGACCTTCGGCTCGAATCCTGCCACTTACTGACCACTGAATATACCTGATAAAAGTACAAGATAGACAAAGTTGTGTTAGAAATTATAAATGATGGTGTGTGTGTGTTCAATCCTTTTTAAAAAAGATGGTTCCTACTCACATTAAGTTGTTTCGCAACAATCCGGATTTCGAGCCCATTAGCTCATCGTCAGGTTGAAGGGTTTCCACAAACACGTCTCTCGACATGAATTGTAGAAGTGAACCCGCTGATACCCCCGCCAACACGACGTTCCAATGAGGAGCTGGGTTTTTAATGGCGGCTCAATTTGAACGTGCGAAAAGCGGGAATTATAACACAAATAACAATTTTAATAGTAAATACTGTAAGAAATTAATTGTAAATTAGTGATTAAAGATTAAAAAAAAATAACAATGAAATAATCAGAATAATACCTTAATATTATTAAATTATTATAAAACATAATAATAATCAGAATAATTAGTTTAATTATTTGGACGTTTAATATTATTTATATACATATTTAAAATGGGAGGTAGATCAAAATCTGTTATATTATTAATGCATTTATCACCATGTTCAATTTTACATTTTTTAATTTCAAATTTCTCAAACCAATCTACTTCTCTCCCTTTGTTGAAACTATGTAACACGTGTATTTAAATTTGAATTGAAATTATGTTTTGTTTCTTTTATATGGTCCTTGAATTCCGAAAATTTGTTCGACTTAGGCAAATGTTCTTTCACTCTCGTTTTTATTTCCCTACTGCTTTGACCTATATATTTAAAATTGTCCATAATAAATAACCTAATAATCAAATTGAGTGCCATTAAAAACCCAGCTCCTCATTGGAACGTCGCGTTGGCGGGGGTATCAGCGGGTTCACTTCTGCAATTCATGTCGAGAGAGGTGTTTGTGGAAACCTGACGATGAGCTAAAGGGCTCGAAATCTGGATTGTTGTGGAACAACTTAATGTGAGTAGGAACCATCTTTTTTTTAAAAAAGTTGTGTTATGTTCCTATTAGCAAACAAACGACATGGTCAAATCTAACTCTAGGCTAATAATTTTCAGTTGGATCTATTTCATAATTTATTGTGTTCTATGAAAAATATGTTTGTATATATTGTTATTAAATATGGAAATCAGTTTGTTTATTAGTGATTTTTATTGATTGCTGATCAATCCAAATTAAAGTTTGATCTTCCTTTGAGTGAAGAGTCACCAGAAAAGCTACAAAAAGAAAGTATGAATAAATTAAATTCACAAATAAGAATTTTGTCAAATAAACCGTTTTCCTTCTGCCTTTAATATCTATTGAAATCACAATATTTTCATTTAAATTAGAAAATCATAATAATAATAAAATATTGATGTTTAATGATGATAGATCAATCCAAAATTAAGTTTGATCTTCCTTCAACATCTGAACAACTATCACCAGAAAAGTTACTAAAAGAAGGTATGAATAAATTAAATTCACAAATAATAATTTTGTCAAATAAACAGTTTTCCTTTTGTCTTTAACATGTATTAAAATCATAATATTTTCATTTAAATTAGAAAATCATAATATTAATAAAATATTGATGTTTAATGATTATAGATCAATCCAAAAGAAAGTCAGAAATTCCTTCAACATATGAACAACTATCACCAGAAAAGTTACTAAAAGAAGGTATGAATAAATTAAATTCACACATAATAATTTTGTCTAATAATCTGTTTTCCTTAAACCTTTAAAATCTATTAAAATTGTAAAGTTTCATTTAAATTACAAAATCACAATATTAATAAAATATTGATGCTTAATGATTATAGATCAATCCAAAAAAAAGTCAGAAGTTCCTTCGACATCTAAACAACTATCACCAGAAAAGTTATCAAAAGAAGGTATGAATAAATTAAATTCACAAATAATAATTTTGTCTAATAATCCATTTTCCTTATGACTTTAACATCTATTAAAATGTAATCTTTTCATTTAAATTAAAAACTCATAATATTAATAAAGTATTGATGTTTAATGATTATAGATCAATCCAAAATAAAGGGTGAAGTTCCTTCGACATCTAAACAAGAATCTCCAGAAAAGTTACTAAAAGATGGTATGATTAAATTAAATTCACAAAATAACATCATAAAATTATCTATCTTCATACTAGATTTTGCATTCAGTGATATTGAAGTACACATTTTAATTTTATCATGGAAATTATTATGTCAATTACTGATTTTTGATGGTTACAGATCAATCCGAAACAATGTTAAAAAAAAGCAAAACAAGATTATTTTATATTTAAATTTGTTTGCTGTATATTATGCTAACAAGGGCAATTAAAAAAAAATGTATCTAAGTTGTAGGATATCAAAAATAATTTTAAAATAATTCAAAACACTTACCAATTTTAAACAAATAAGTACCAATAATTCAAGTTTTTTCTTGGCTTTAACTTGGCCAGGCTTAGCCAAGTAATTCAAGTTCAAATACTATATTTCTTTTCCAGATTTCTTTTTAACATTTCTCCTTTTTTTTTTTTTTAAATTGCAAATTTTATCTGGACAAAGCATAACACAATTAATTTTTATGACGTATTGTTGCAGTGTTAAATTACACTTTTAATAACGTGTGGTGATTAGTGACCGTTAATCGATTTCTAAATAAACTTTTAATAACCATTGTTTTTTTCATTTGGTCAATAAATGCAAGATGGTTACAATTGCTGTACAGTGTACACTATCGTATTCTAACTTTTCTGCATTAACGCTTCTCCAAATGCTGAATAATATGTTAATTTAATTTGAACAATCCATGCTTTCAGGGCCATCAAAGCAACAGCGTCAAGAGAAGCTGCTGAAAAAAGGTACTAAAAAATAGAAAAAAACAAACAAATTGAAAACATTTCATTGTTATATTATTAATGATTACAGATCAATCCAAAACTAAGCTGGAAGTTCTGCCAGACATTTATGGTAAGTACACTTACTTTAGATAAAAATTATAAATCAGTTTATTCTCAGGTTTAATTGAAATTTGAAACACCAATCATATTACAGTAGTTTTAATAAGAAAATTATTGTCTTAATTAAATAAAAAATAAATTACAGGGCCTTCTACCTCAAAGAAAGAATCACAAGAGAAACTGCCAAGAAAAGGTATAGATGAAACTTACAAATAATAATCTTTCAAAAATTAATCATATTTTTATCATCCTTGTTTTGTATTTGTTCATTACCAAAATTGCTACATTCTTACATCTTATGTTTAAATGGTTGTGTGTAATAGTACTAACATTATTTTATGAAAAACATATACATTTTGTGTTTCAACAGATCTATCTAAAACAAGTTTGGGAGCTGTGCCAATACATGAAGGTAAGTTTTGTTGAATTGAAATATTTACAGAATTACGCTTATGACTATTTTCGGCAAGATGCGAGAATCATTCACTTCAAGTTTTGGCAGTATGGGGTCAGACTTTACTCCTTTCTGGCCCACCACTGAAATTAGGCTTTACGGGTTTTCAACAGTAAAGCGGCCCATAGACAGTCAATATTATTGTACAATATAGATTGCACAATAATTTGAGGGTTGCCCTTTAACATTCAATAATATTGTACAAAATTTGTTTGTGCAATGAACTTGAATAGTTTGAAGGCGATATTGAAGTTTGTGCAATATTTTGTTACTACTTGTTGACTGATATTGCGCAATAATGCCAACAGACAGTGCAATATTTTTCAGGTTGTATAATATATTTTCAACTTTTCATCAATTATGCAATGCATTGCACAAACTTTCAATATCGTCTACACACGATCAATTAAATTGCACAACCCAAAATATTGTGCAATAATATTGATTGTCTATGGGCCGCTTTAGGTCCTTTCAGCCTCCATTCACTCAAGTAGGGTGGTAGAGCACTCAATATTCCTCTAACATCCTTCACAAATAACTAATCTAGTTGAAGGTTGATCGGGTACTTAGTATTCCACCATCACCATATCACCCTGTACATTCACACTAATAAATACATTCACTATCAATATGCACAAAACAAGTTACTCATTAATATACAATTAGTTTAATATACAATTAAACAGCTCTTTTTCCTCCAAAAATTGGAACAGGGGACCAAAATTGTCATGGCCATGCTGAAGCACAATTCTCATATTGAGTGGCATTCCTATACACTCTGTATATAGAGCCAAGGAATGACACTCTTAAATAGGACACATTGACCAACCTTTCTCTACATGGCATACAAATTCGTGACCTTTGGCCCAAAAGTGTCTATGTGTAAACCTGGCCTTTTCTTATTCAGATAAGGCTGATCCCTCTTCTACGATTCTTATCCTCTGAAAGCCACCCATCAATTGTGCTCTTAAAAAGAGGTGCTTTTCTGCTGATCGGACCCACTGATGCTGCCATTCATTTTGACCAAATTTGTTAAGGCCAGATCTTGGTGGTCATCTGGAGATTTGGATGTCCTGGTTTTAGCCACTCCCCTCAAGGGCTATGGATCTGCCAGACAATCTCCGCCGTTTTATTGAGACTCTCTAATTCAGAGTATTTTCTCAGCAAGAGCAAAAGGAGAGGGTTCATGGAGGACCTGTTAAGAACAGTAGTAACCACTCTCAGAAAGTTTGAATAGATGAGGTAGGCAAAGCTCCATTGTCTTGATTCACCCCAAGTGCCAAATTGTGCTTCGTGATTCACACGACATACATGTTACATGCCACACCATGTGTAGATGAAGTGAAAACCATGTACCTTGATAAGTTGTGTTGAAATAAAAATATTAGTTTTGTTGTAATTATGTTACATTTCAATGTAACAATAATTAACTTAATTTTTGTAATTTATTTCTCCAGGACCATCTACGTCAAATCAGGAATCTCATGAGAAGGTACCACAACAAGGTAATGGTTCAATAATCAAAAAACATTTACATTTATAATAAGCTATTAATATAATATAATAAGCTATTGTTACGACTATTAGTTCTTCTGCCAATATTATGTTTCAACTGAAATTTTTTAACTATTGATTCCAGATCAATCTAAACCAAGGCTAGAAGTATTGCCAAAACATGATGGTAAAGTTTATTTATATTTGAACTATCAATCGTCATTTTCAATTTATGTTAATATAAAAAATTGAATGCATACAGGACCATCTACATCAAAGGAAGAGCCTCAAGAGAAGCTACCAAAAGGAGGTATGGATCATTATTTGACAAAATGGTTATACACCAATCAGCATTGTTTTCTACAACAGAGAAAAAACAATTTTTTTCTTTTCATTTCATTCATTTCTGGTTGCTTAACTTAGAAACTCTTGTTTTTCCTTACAAACACTCGATCAAGGGATGATCTTAAAAAAAAGCAAATTCAATTGTACTGCAAAGCTTTCGGTCATCGTCAGGGCAAAACAATCTTATATATAGTAGATGATGGGGTTTGGTCTGCGAGTTGGCGAACTCATGTTGAACTTTTTTTTCTTCTGTTTTTTGAACTTTTTTTTTTTAGTTTTTCATGAAGATGGCGTAATGCCGAAACGCGTTTGAATAACTCAAATAAAAAAAAATCCCGCGAGTGAAGACAGACCCAGTAGTGTTCAACATGAATCTTAAATATGTCTATAGATTGACATATTTTTTTACTGTCGCACAGTTTTGCAAATAGAAATTACTTTCATTCGCGGTATCGTCACTAAAAAAAGTTTTTTTTTTGCTGATAAGCTCAGTTAAGTGTTTTGTTCAGAGATGCCTGATTAGAATACTCCCCTTTTGAGTGGAAGGGCTTCTTCTGGATTTTATGGTTACAGGGTTTCTACTAGGCCAAGAGTTAAAGTTCACAAAATTTCCATGTTACATATCCGAGTTAATAATCAAGTAATAGCAAAATAATCCTGATTCAACGCCGTACAAGAACGTTTAGTTGATTTCACTAAGATTTGTCTTCCACCTTTGTTCATTAAATTCACTAATTTCGTGGTCCGCTTGACCAATTAATATATTACAATTAATTAAGGTTTTTTAGTTGAGATAAAAAAGTCAAGGGCACGAGCGGGATTCGAACCCACGATCTTTGGCTTGATACGCCGCTGCTCCACCACTTGAGCTATCGTGACCTCGATCCACTCGGACGCTAACTTCTCATCTCAACCCCACCTTTTGAATTTTCCCCTGCTTTTTGCCATTTTTCAAATGTCGTGTAATCGAATTGGATTCTCGGCGACAAATGAAATGGCCACGGAGAGCTTTAGTGAAGTATACTTTATTATTTTAAATCATTAAATTCACTAAGTTCGTGATCCGCTTGACCAATTAATATATTACAATTAAAATTCAAAAGGTTGGGTTGAGATGAGAAGTTAGTGTCCGAGTGGGATCGAGGTCACGATAGCTCAAGTGGTAGAGCAGCGGCGTATCTAGCCGAAGATCGTGGGTTCGAATCCCGCTCTTGCCATTGGCTTTTTTATCTCAACTAAAAAACCTTAATTATTTGTACATTAAACTGGGCCTAAATAAACAATTTTCCAAACATTACCAGTAGGACAGTGTTTTCTTCTATTTATGAAGGACTCCCTTGGAAGAGGAAAGGCCTATCTGACAAAATGACTTTTTAGTGTAAAAAGGTTCTTTTAGACTCCCTTTGAATGATGGTGTCATCTGTAGGTCGATATACGAATTTTTACGGCTTCAGTGAACACGTGTCCTGAAAAAAGATCTCTTCACACAGAATTTTGATCTCCCGTCTCATCTTCTGCACCTTTGTTAAAAAAGCAAAAGTAAAAAGTTAATGTGAATGAGTTCATATAAAAACTAAAAGGTTAGATGCTAGGAAAAAATATTTAGGCCATCAACGTGTCCTCAGACCTGGAAAAAGCCTGCCAGACCCTAATTCTAAAAAAAGTTCTGTGCTATAGTAAGCGTTGTTTTTTTCTTGGTGTTTTCGTTAGATTGGTTAAAAATTATAATAATACAATAAATTATAATTATTATTGCATTTCTTTCTGTCCAGTTTTAGAGGTGCTCATTAGCCAAACTGTTACTTGTAATATGTGTAGGCCCCTGATTAATTGTCTTGTACCAATCTTACTTTGTATGACGATTTAGTTGGGTATAGCTGACACTTATTGGTTATATGACTCATTCATTTTTATACACAAGATGTTCTGAAGAGGGCGCACGTAAGGCTTGAAAAGTGCATTAAATGTGAATTTATAAGAGGCCGGTTGTTTTCGATCATCAAAACCTCAAATATTCAGCATGAAATAATTTGATATTTTTATTTTTTGGGGGATTTAGTTTGACAAATTTACCTCGGTGTTCTCGAAATAAGCAACTTGTACTTAGCAAGGAAAAAGATTTATCTATCCGTTTGTTAAAAGACAAGTCAGAACTTGAGGGAATTTAAGTAGACGATTAAGGTCGATTTTCCGGCCGAAACGATTTCAGGGAGGATCAAGTGTGAAAAAGGTTTCCTGAAATCCTTGTTCATTGGAATTGGCTGCGGATAATTGCCGAATATGGCCGTAATGAAATTGCCTCCAGGTCTACCAAAGCGGAAAAAAAACGGCTAAAAAGCCAAATCTAAACCTAAAAGTGAAGGGAATAAAAAACACAACTTCAGATACTTCGGATTATGCGAATACTTCAGTCATGAATCATAAATGATCTTATCTCCATCAAAAATATTTTGTCGATTCATGACGTCGGAATCTTGGTTTCGGAATTTGTTATTTCACTTTAATTTCCAAACTAGAATCCAACTAGATATAAATTGTAATGGTCAGGATTTTTAAATTAAAGCTTGAAAATATAATTTCAAAAGAAAAAAAATTTTGCTACCCCTTCTCACATTAATCTCTTCGATTTGTCTGGTACGACTAATCTCGCTGTTTTGATCAGTTAATCACGTATCTTTCGCGTTTTTCTGTTTGTTTAATTCGAAAGCAAATTTTTAGAAAAAATTGAGATAGATTTGATTTCCGGTGACTTTTTTGGTAACAATAAGAGACAGCAAGTATAGCATAAGGATGATCGGGGTCAAGATACACAAATAAACCCGCAGGCCGCACACATTGTGTACAATAAAGCATTGTTATAGACACGAATGAAACTTACTGGGCTTATTTTTTATGAATGGGAACCTAATTAACAACAAAGAGACGAGAAAGGAAAATGTCAGTTGAAAGTATAAAGTATGAAAAATTCACTCAAGTTTTTTCGCAAATAACTTTCAACCCCTGGACCGTGAGGCAATCTACAATTACAGTAAACAAAATTTTAGTTTTCTCTTTGTTATACTATCATCCCCTTCAAAATCAATCGTTTTTATAAAATAGATTAAACGGTTCTGGAATGTAAATGGATTTTATTGGAAACTCGACATCAAGACTTTCATTGATGGTTTAAAAGTTTTAATTTTGAAAGATTCCATTATAGTTTTACATCTGTAATTATTTGATCGATTATTTGGCTGATTGATGCATTTTATATAATTTTCTCGATTGTTACAATATTTGAAAATAGTAGAGATTGCTACCGCGTTCCCACCTAAGATTTTATTAATTAAAAAACAATTATATGGCCGTCTATCATCGTTACAGATCGTTTGATTAAGATCAGCAATGTTTGATATTTCTGTCACCGTTCAATTAAAAATTTTAGTTTTTTTCTTTGTCATACTATCTCTCATTTAAAATCAGAATCAGACGTTTTTATAAAAAAAAAAAATGCTTCTGGAATTGAAATGGATTTTATTGAAACTGGCCAGCATGACTTTCATCGATGGTTTAAAAGTTAAATATTTGATTTTGAGAGGTTGTATTATAGTTTTAAATCTGTAATTATTTTTTCAATTCGATGGCTGGCTGAAGTCTTATATATACTTTTCTCGATTGTTACAATGTTTGAAAATAGGAGATATTGTTACCTATCCGGAATAAACGTGAAAAGCGGCAAATTTTAAAAGCAAAAGGAAATAAAAAATCGTTACCTGTTAGAATTACACTGATCTAAGCCTGTAGAGCTTTTTCTGCGATATTCATCAGATTTTAATCATTAAAAAAAAATTATATGGCCGTCTATCATCGTTACAGATCGTTTGACTAAGATCAGCAATGTTTGATATTTCTGTCATCGTTCAATTAAAATTTTTAGTTTTTTTCTTTGTCATACTGTCTTTCATTCAAACTTAGACGTTTTTATAAAAACACTGTTTCTGGAATTGAAATGGATTTTATTCGAAACTGGCCATCATGGCTTTCATCGATGGTTTAAACGTTAAATATTTTATTTTGAAAGCTTCTATTATAGTTCTAAATCTGTAATTATTTTTTCAATTCGATGGCTGGCTGAAGTCTTTTAATACTTTTCTCGATTGTTACAATGTTTGAAAATAGGAGATATTGTTACCTATCCGGAATAAACGTGAAAAGCGGCAAATTTTAAAAGCAAAAAGAAATAAAAGATCGTTAGCTGTTAGAATTTCGCTGATCTAAGCCGGTACAGCTTTTTCTGAGATATTCATCTTTCCCACATAAGTTTTTAATCATTAAAAAAAAATTATATGGCCGTCTATCATCGTTAGAGATCGTTTGAATATGATCAGCAATTTTTTATATTTCTGTCATCGTTCAATTAAAAATTTTAGTTTTTTTCTTTGTTATACTGTCTCTCATTCAAAATCAGACGTTTTTATTTAAAAAAAATGTTTCTGCAATTGAAATGGATTTTATTGGCCACCATGACTTTCATCGATGGTTTAAAAGTTAAATATTTGATTTTGAAAGGTTCTATTATAGTTTTAAATCTGTAATTATTTTTCAATTCGATGGCAGGCTGAAGTCTTATATATACTTTTCTCGATTGTTACAATGTTTGAAAATAGGAGATATTGTTACCTATCCGGAATAAACGTGAAAAGCGGCAAATTTTAAAAGCAAAAAGAAATAAAAGATCGTTAGCTGTTAGAATTACGCTGATCTAATCCTGTAGAGCTTTTTCTGAGATATTCATCGTTCCCACCTAAGATTTTAAGCATTAAAAAAAATTATATGGCCGTCTATCATCGTTACAGATCTTTACAATGTGCGGTAATGTCAAAATTTAATAGACAAAGCCCACAGGCTGACTAAGATTATTAATGTTTGATATTTCTGTCATCGTTCAATTAAAATTTTTAGTTTTTTTCTTTGTCATACTGTCTCTCATTCAAAATTAGACGTTTTTATAAAAAAAATGTTTCTGGAATGGAAATGGATTTAATTGAAAACTGGCCAGCATGACTTTCATCTATGGTTTAAAAGTTAAATATTTGACTTTGAAAGGTGCTATTATTGCCATCGATGGTTTAAACGTTAAATATTTTATTTTGAAAGCTTCTATTACAGTTCTAAATCTGTAATTATTTTTTCAATTCGATGGCTGGCTGAAGTCTTTTATATAATTTTTTCGATTGTTACAATGTTTGAAAATAGGAGATACTGTTACCTATCCGGAATAAATGTGAAAAGCGGCAAATTTTAAAAGCAAAAGGAAATAAAAGATCGTTAGTTGTTAGAATTACGCGGATCTAAGCCTGTAAAGCTTTTTCTGAGATATTCATCGTTCTTACCTAAGAATTTATTGATTTAGAAAAAATGAAATAATTATAAGGCCGTCTATTATCGTTACAGATCTTTACAATGTGCGGTAATGTCAAAATTTAATAGACAAAGCCAACAGGCTGATTAAGATTAGTAATGTTTGATATTTCTGTCATCGTTCAATTAAAATTTTTAGGTTTTTTCTATGTCATACTGTCTCTCATTCAAAATTAGACGTTTTTGTAAAAAAAATGTTTCTGGAATTGAAATGGATTTTATTGAAAACTGGCCTGCATGACTTTCATCGATGGTTTAAAAGTTACATATTTGATTTTCAAAGATTCTATTTTAGTTTTAAATTAGTAATTATTTTTCAATTCGATGGCTGGCTGAAGTCTTTTATATAATTTTTTCGATTGTTACAATATTTGAAAATACTAGAGATTGTTACCTATCCGGAATAAACGTGAAAAGCGGCAAATTTTAAAAGCAAAAAGAAATAAAAGATCGTTAGCTGTTAGAATTACGCTGATCTAAGCCTGTAGAGCTTTTTCTGAGATATTCATCGTTCCCACCTAAGATTTTAATCATTAAAAAAAAATTAAATTATTATATGGCCGTCTATCATCGTTACAGATCGTTTGACTATGATCAGCAATTTTTTATATTTCTGTCATCGTTCAATTAAAACTTTTAGTTTTTTTCTTTATCATACTGTCTCTCATTCAAAATCAGACGGTTTTAGAAAAAAAAAATAATTTCTTGAATTGAAATCGATTTTATTCGAAACTACCCATCATGGCTTTCATCGATGTTTTAAAAGTTAAATATTTGATTTTGAAAGGTTCTATTATAGTTCTAAATCTGTAATTACATTTTCGATTCGATAGCTGGCTGAAGTCTTTTATATAGTTTTTTCGATTGTTACGATATTTGCAAATAGTAGAGATTGTTACCTATCCAGAATAAACGTGAAAACCAGCAAATTTCCTTTGAAAGGAATATAGAAAAGAACGTATTAGCTGTTAGAATTACGCTGATCTAAGCCTGTAGAGCTTTTTTTAAAGTTTTCATCGTACCCACCTAAAATTTTATTAATTTTTAAAAAAATGTTAATTATGTGGCCGCCTATTATCTTTACAGATCGTTACAATGTGCGGTAATGTCAAAATTTAATAGACAAAGCCCACAGGCAGACTAAGATCAGCAATGTTTGATATTTCTGTCAACGTTCAATTAAAAATTTAACGTAATGTTTTGACCAGATTCGACCCGTGAAGTGAAGCCGTCCGGCAGAAAACAATGTTCGAAATGCGGTAAGCTTCATGAATATTTGAAATTTTTGAAAATATCTTCAGATTAGGACTGATCTTTCTTCAACGACTAATACAAACAGCAGATAAATAAAATATATCCAATCATTATTTTAAAATCAGACAAACATAAACCATTTGTTTCAACTTTTTTACAACAACACTTTTTCGTTTTAGGAAAAGGCTCGAGACGTCGGCTAGACGAAGCAGGCCCTTCCAGACCTAAAGGTGAAATATTTTGTTTTCTGTAGACATTATCACGGGTGTAACTTTTTATCATGTGTTTTATTTCAAAACCCGGCTTACTGTAGACGTTGATCTTTTACCTGGGAAGCTAACCGGGTCTTTAGGGACGATTATTTCTGAGTTTGAGATTATTTCCTTGGATCTGGTCCAATCTGTCGAGCGCTTGATGGGCAAACTAAACGGAGCCAGTAGTTCCCAAATCCATCGTGCTCTCAAATTTGACTCGCTGCAGTTTACTTATATTATAAATCTGAAATTTCAAGTATGCAAGTTTATTTTCATATTTTGCATTTTCTGTATTTTTTCTCTCAAAATACTATTTTCCTGACCACTCTTATTTTTCTTTGGACATTATCACTCATTCTACATGTCTTGTTAAGTCTAACTTTTGTTCTTTGTTTTCTTCATCGTACCGCTATATTTTCACTACTGATAAATCAGTACTGCACCGGTGTAAAATGGAGTTTCTTATGGATCGCAAATGAAAGTTTTGAGAGGCCGAAAAACTTGGTTCCTATCTCATCATCCGTCTAATAGTCCAAAATACTTTTTTAGAGTAACCGTTTTTTCAAAATCTAAGTACTATTTCTGTTATCAGCAGTTTTATAAATTCATCACTTGTGTCCATTTCATTAGGTTCTTCCATTTTTCTAATTTCACTTATTAATTTACTTTTTTCATTTTGAACTTTCCAGGTGATCCTGGCCCGCCTATTCTCGTCATATGGCTTAGAACAGCACATGAAATTAGATAAAAATTCGATAACAGAAAGTGTCATATGGAAAAAATGAGACGAGGTTAACTGAACAAAAACAGCGAGAATGGGTGGACCGAGATCAGATACGATTAAGCTGCTAAAAACTCGCTAGTTAATCAACTAACTTGACAATTTTTTTCTTTTTATAATTTTACTTAATAGAATATCATACGATTGTTTTGTTAATGTTAATCTGTAAAATAAGGAAAAAAAGGTTTAGATAATTTGTAATTTATTCTTTTACCGTTTATTTTGCTATACTCCAAGAATGTTGCAAAGTTAGATAGCATTGCTATTTTTTAATAATTTATTTAACGAATTTACAAAGAAAATTCATCCGCGTAAGCCTTTACACGACTTCCAACTCTGCATTTGGAAGGACTATCAACTTTTCACAAGCTTATCATGTACATTTTTGAAATTTCCGCAGGTTTTATAATTCCTTTTGATATTCAGTTGTTTTTCCAATATTCAAAACAATCTTAGGTTTTAATTTTTGCGTATGATTTTCTTAATCATATGTCCATTTGGTCTGATAGTCTGTACAACAAATGAGCTTTCACCTACTGTAGCTGAAGATATGCCCATGGATAATTATAATCCTTCTCTCGAGTTTGTATTAAAAAAAATATACCTACAGTTCAAAATATGAAATCGTTTTTACCATGATTTTAAAAATTTCAATTAAGATGGCCTCATTTATAACTTATACTCTATTGATTGGGATTAATTACCTAAGGGCACAGCATTAAATCATGCGGTATCATTATTCTATAAAGCAATTCAATCTCTGTTGGATCAATTTGTTCACCAAAAAAAATTCGCTAATCCTAAATTCCCGATACACTTTACCAATCAATGAAAAAAACATTATAATAAACAAATATTGGTACACAAAAAATATAAAAGAAAAAATCTTTCTAGTGACTACACTAAATTTTCTCGTTTGAGAGCCCAAAATAAAGCTTGAATCAATTTGTTCGCCAAAAAATGTTCACTAATCCTAAATTCCCGATACACTTTACCAATGAAATAAAAAAGGATTATGATGAACAAATATTGGCAAACATAAAATATAAAAGAACAAACCTTTCCTTTGACTACACTAAATTTTCTCGTTTAAAGAACCCAAAAGAAAGCTTGGATCGATTTGTTCGCTAAAAAAAGTTCACTAATCCTAAAGTCCCGGTACACTTTACCAATGAATTAAAAAAAGATTATAATAAACAAATATTAGCACAAAAAAAATAAAAGAACAAATTTTTCTAGTGACTACACTAAATTTTCTCGTTTAAAGTACCCAAAATAAAGCTAGGATCAATTTGTTCGCTAAAAAAAGTTCACTAATCCTAAATTCCCAATACATTTTACCAATGAATTTAAAAAAAATATAATAAACAAATATTGGCACACAAAAAATATAAAAGAACAAATGTTTCTAGTGACTACACTAAATTGTCTCGTTTAAAGAACCCAAAATAACGTTCGGATCAATTTGTTCGCCAAAAAATGTTCACTAATCCTACATTCCCATAACACTTTACCAATGAATTAAAAACATTATTATAAAAAAATATTGGCACACAAAAAATATAAAAAAACAAATCTTTCTAGTGATTACACTAAATTTTCTCGTTTAAAGATCACAAAATAAAGCTTGAATCAATTTGTTCGCCAAAAAAAGTTCACTAATCCTAAATTCCCGATACATTTTACCAATGAATTAAAAAAAGATTATAATAAACAATATTGGCATACAAAAAATACAAAAGAAAAAATCATTCTAGTGACTACACATTTTTCGTTTAAGAACCCAAAATTAAGCTTGGAATTTTTTAAAATTCCAATTGCATTAAATCAGTTGAGGACAATTCACAATGGGATTGTAACAAATTCTGGTCGTTTGTTTGTAATTAAAAGAAAAGTAACTTTATGCCAGCTTCGATCCGTTGCAATTAAAAGTTAGCAATGATCCTCATGAAATTGCAAACTTCTTTACACTGCATCTTCGGTTGGTTTATGATAAAGACGGTAATCCTTGATAATACTGTTAACCTGGATTCAGTTTCAATGCCAAAGAGGGATATGCTTGAAGCTCTACCGTCTTTAGACTCTACAAGTTTAATTAAAGGTTCAGATGGCATCCCTTCCTCTGCTTTAAACCTATGCAGGGTTGTCTTAGCTGGCCCAATGCATTATCTATTTTCAGAACCACTGAACTGGTATTTTCTCATACTATTGGTAAACGTCTTCTGTATCACCGATACATAAAAGTGGTGTAAGTTCTGAATTCTCTAATTATCGACTATTACGTATCATATCTGTTATACCGAACATTTTGAAAAGGTAGTCAACAGTAAAGTAGCTCCTCTGTTCAAAATCATCATTAATGTGTAGTATTTAGTGACCGTTAATTAAAGATTATTTGGTGAACGTGGGATGCGGTTTTGTGTGGTGTAGGTTTAGAAAAACATCTACACAGAAAACACACGTTTTGTGTGAGTTCAAATACTTTGAATAAACCTAAAATTTCAATATTGTGTAAATCATTGTACAAATTCATTTCACATCTTGGGTTTGTATAATGCAAACAATGATTGTAAATCCCAGGCCCTAAAGATGATCTAAATAAAGATCGAAACGTTGGTACAATAAAGAAAATGTTTTTCTAAACTACATCACACAAGACTGCGTCTCACGATCTCCAAAAATTATATCATTAATTAGATTAGCTTTCCTGGTTCGATTGGCCAAATAAATTCTTTTCAATTAATTAATCTTTAATTTTAAGGTATTGGTTGAGTTAAAAAAGTCAGTGTCACGAGCGGGATTCGAACCCACGACCTTCAGCTAAATACGCCGCTGCTCTAATACTTGAGCTATCGTGTGATGTGACAATACCTTATTTAATGATTCATTAATTGGAAATATCATTAATAATGAACAGCATAGTTTTATAAAAAAAAAAAATTGATCTACATTGAATAACTTCATATGCTTTGAACTTGACTTTTTGGATGTAATTAACGACAAAAACAAGGTTGATGGATGTATTATAAGGAACCACGGATTTATCAAAGGCTTTTGATATTGTTAACCATTATCTGATATGTCGTAAATTATCTGGTTATGGATTTTGTGGCAATTTAATTAAATGAGTGTATGAGAACTTAGTACTAATAAGTTAAATTGTAGCTATTAACAATGCATTCCCTGAGGCCATAAATGTAACGTTAGGTGTTTCTAAAGGTGAACATTTAACACCTTTTTTATTTTATTTATTTATTAACGATGCTGTTCTTAGGTTTAAATATATGGAGTGCTTTCTGGGTGCTGTCCTTTAGAGCACGGGTGGCAGGGGTAAAACTAAAATACTATAACGTAGATTCTGGATTGTTCAATTTCACATCCTCTCCCGTTTTCCCCCCCTAAGTTGTTGTTTGGGAATAAGAGGCCAATTTTACCACGTTTTGCTCCTGTGATAAGGGGAGGTGTATATTTTCTCAGGATTTCTTTCCTTCTTCTTTGCCCACCAATGGGGCACTCCTTCGATGGATTTAATTTTAATTTAGGAGTTGCCTCATTTTTCCTGCACCCTTGATGTACCTGGGTTGGTACAAAGCTTTCTTCTTTTGAGAGTTGTTCAAAAACTTTCAGAGGAGCAACCAGGCTTCTTCGTGTTCTTTTTACCAATCCTTTGTACCAAATCTAAAGTTTGCTAGGTTCATTTTTAGGGCCTATGCTGACCCATGATCAATGGCTATAGTAAAGATCACCAATTTATACTCTTACTTTCTTTGGACGACTTTCCAGGCCTCTACGTAGTAGCTTTTTCTTTCTTTTTTAAACTCTGCGAATCTTTTCGTTGGTGTCCCTTTTGATAAAACAGTGTGGGAAATATCCCACCATTAACTACGGTCGAGGGAGGTTTTTTCTCTACCACTGGCAGTCTGGCGACTTCCCAGGGTGTTAGCTCCTTCTCTAGGCATTTTATTCACGCTGCCTCGGTGGTAGTTTTCACATTTTTAAGTCAACCGCCCTTTTTTATATGATAGCCCATTAAAGGTTAGTTTTATGGTCTCAAAAAACGTACTCTATTTTCCCGAACAGCCACTCATGTATTGCATCTGATTGCTCAACCGTCAGGAGCATCTGGATATATCCGAGAGGGACGATACCGAGTCTTATTTCTTTGAGAACTTCCGTGTAAGTCCTCCGGGCAGGGTTTTGGATCTTTTGCCGAACGGACTCTCCCACCTTGGTTTTATTGTTTTTCTACCTGCACAGGAGCCTTCTCCACTTTTTGCAGGTTGGATATGGATAGCATATGCCGTCTAAGAGCTTTACTGCTTCTTCTCTGGTGTGCACATATCTTCGAAGCCACGTATCCTCCTATATCTTGATAACCTTAGTGAGTTAGTTTCTGCCGAAGCCTTGCACTCCTTCCAGTTTACCGTGTTGGTGAAATAGGGTCCAGGAGCAGTTTCATCATTTCTTTCCCTTCAGGAGTCGGCTGTTCCGTTTTCTCTGGCACCTCAATCGGGACGGCTTTTCAACAGCTCCTCATCCTACTAGCTGTTAGATTTACTTTTGGATTTACTATTTGATCCATAAGAATTCCCACGAGTAGCTAAGGATCTAAACAATCACCGTGTCATTTCCTTTTATTCCTTGCTTAATGTCAGGGTTTTTCTTGATTACTATGGTTAAAAAATATTGAAACAACTCGTGACAATTATTTTTATTGCACGTTTCAGAAAGCCAAGAAATTTCGAAGCAAAAGGAAGACTCCCAAAAGGATCCGACCCAGCCGGAAAGCGAAAAGGACGACAAAGAGAAAAAAGACGACGAACATAAAGATGATAAGTCCAAATAGGTAATCGCCATGTACATTTAAAACAATTCGATATTTAGTATTTTGCTTTTCAGATGTTTCGGCCACTGTACGTTGACAATTTGAACGGCTTAAACATCCTGGAAGAAAGATCCTGGATCTGTGAAGTATTCAAATACTGTTTTGGTATTCAACTAGCTTGATTTTGTAATTAACAAAATAATTAATAAAAAGTTATCAAATTTAATACGTTACGATTCCGTATTGCTACTAAAAGTTTCGCATTTACATTACTTTTAAACTGTGAAACTTAAACTTCCTTGTAGTTATTAGAAAATTGACATGCTTGGTTTTTGACAAAACAATCTTGGTTTTTCAAGATATATTCTTTGACCCGAAACGAAAGTTGTTAAACAATCGTGTTCAAAGGTAGGTTATTTTGGTGTGAAAATCACTGAAGAAAAACTTTTCTCGTTCCTTACTCCTTCCTCCTCTCGTTAATCGTCTTTATCTGGCTAAATTTGAAAATCTTTTTAATGTTGGTGGTAAAACGCATACTCACCATTCAACGACAGCCAACTTAGGCGATCTTATTACAATATTGCAAAAATCGGTACTGAGAAACTTGTGAAAGCTTTTTCAGTTCTGCAAATTGCAAGAATGATAGAGAACAAACAAGAAGGTAATTTGCATATCATCACATGCTCACATTAACTACAAAAAATTTTCTTTTTCTGGATCTTTTATGTTATTTTTCTTAAAAAACGACTAGTTTTTTGACATGATGAAGCAATAAACAAATTTCAAACAGAACATTCTAACATATTTTTCATTAAAAAAACCAATTTGAATTTAATTATGTTATGTTTTATTAATTAAATACATTTTTATATGATATTTTCACCGACAGATTCAGTTTATGTTGAAACGAGTTCAAAATGGGGTTTACAATTTGAATGGAATAGGTGAGTAAAAATTAGTCGAATTAAAAAATGAATTAAGCAACTTATATTCCGACAGATTTAACAAGAGGAACTGGCGGTATTAAAAGTAAACTGACTTCATCGAATAGCAGTAAATATTGAGTCTATATATACATCAGATATTATTGGTATTAATCTTTTTTTTTACAGACGACGAAACGAGCCGGTAATAACGATGGCAAACAAACTTCACCCAAACATGGTAACGATCGATTCATTAATCAGACAAGTTAAACATTAATTAGTAAGTCGTTTTATTGTTTGAACAGACTTAACTGAGAGCGAGAAGAGATCGGCTTCGCAGAAACAAGGTAAATTTCTTCGCGTTGATAAACGATTTTTTGGTTCATAATATTGCTTTCGCACAGATCGAAACAAAAGAAGCCCAAGCAAGATGCCGACCCCGACGAAACGACGTAAATATTGCCTTTATCAAATTCGAAGTACGGTTCTAATGGCAAAATTAATTGTTAAAACAGAGCAAAGCGCGGTCGAAAGCCGATCTTCATGCAAATGTGGTAAATATTAATTAAAATCGAAGATAATCAAAGCGAGGTAGATATAAAAGTGCAGTTTCTGACAACACATACGAAAAAATAATTAGCATTAAAAAAATACTGCAATGTTTAATTAAAAAACCATCACTCTAATTAAAAAAGAAACGTTCAGCTTCTTCGTACAGCTTTTGAGAAATGAATCTCCTTCCAACAGGAATATGAAATCACAATTGCTAATTAAGTAGGATAAATAAATATGAATATCTAATTCTCAATTTGGAGATAAAACAAAATTAAAAATTTAAATCATACAGCACAGAATCAAACGAAATTCTTCAACAAACACACGTATAAGGTAAAAAAATATACTAATCAGCTACACTGATTTTATCGATCTTTTGGTGATACTAGGTTAGAAAATATTAGACATGAAAAAATATCCGCTTGACCAATTAATACCTTTCAATTAATTAAGGTTAGGTTTTTAGTTGAGATAAAAAAGTCAGTGTCACGAGTGGGATTCGAACCCACGATCTTCGGCTAGATACGCCAAGACTCAAATAGATTACAGGACATTTGAAAAATGGCAAAAAGGAGGGAAAATTCAAAAGGTGGGGTTGAGATGGGAAGTTAGTGTCCGAGTGGATCGAGGTAACGAAAGCTCAAGTGGTAGAGCAGCGGCGTATCTAGCCGAGGATCGTGGGTTCGAAAACCGCTCGTGACACTGACTTTTTTATCTCAACTAAAAACCTTAATTAATTGAAAGATATTAAGTGGTCAAGCGGACCACGAAAACTAGTGAATTTAATAAGTTAAAATTAAGTATACACTAAAGCTTCCCGTGGCCATTTCATTTGTTGCCTAGAATCAAATAGATTACGCGACCTTTGAAAAATGACAAAAAGGAGGGAAAATTCAAAAGGTGGGGTTGAGATGTGAAGTTGCCGTGGCCGAGCTGAACGAAGTCACGATAGCTCAAGTGGCAGAGCAACGGCGAATCTAGCCAAAGATCGTGGGTTCGAATCTCGCTTGTGACACTCACTTTTTTATCTCAACCAAAACCTTAATTAATTGAAAATAATTGATTTGGTCAAGCGGACCACGAAAAATAGTGAATTTAATATGTTAAAATGAAGTATACCTCCACTAAAGCTCTCCGTGGCCATTTGATTTGACGCCGAGAATAAAATAGATTACACGACATTTGAAAAATGGCAAAAATGGAAGGAAAATTCAAAAGGTGGGGTTGAGATGGGAAGTTAGTGTCCGAGTGGATCGAAGTCACGATAGCTCAAGTGGTAGAGCAGTGGCGTATTTAGCCGAAGGTCGTGGGTTCGAATCCCGCTCGTGACACTGACTTTTTTATCTCAACTAAAAACCTTAATTAATAGAAATTTATTAATATGGTTTTCTGTCTTTGTTGTGCACGTACTTTAAGATTATTATATTCGTAGTATATCAGTAGGTTTTTACTTAAAATTAGTACAGCGCTTTTTCAGTAATCCGAACTAATTGTTCAGGGGGCATTAAAAAATACATATCGCATACCCACAAGAAAAGTGAACTACCCAGAAGATTTTTTTTAAACGTATGTATTAGGCACGCGCCATTACGGCCGTGGCAATAACATCATCAATATTGTCTTTCGTTTCATCGACTTATCGAAAACACATAACTTTAAAAATCCAGCTGTCCTACCCTTAAAAAACTACCCCTTTCTGAGTTGTGACACTTCTCTTGCATATATTGGCTCTCAGAAATTTAAGTTAGTTTGTTTGCTCTAACGATAATGGTGGACAATGAATATAAGGTTATTTACTTTTTCTGTGATAGTAACAGACAACATACAACAAACGAGCATAAATATCCGGGTTCTAAGTTTTACTAAGATTATTTTTAACCGAAATATGCTTTACTCCTGAAGTTAGGGCTGATTAATTATTTAAAATACAAAATTAGTTATTGAAATAAATATTTCATTGATTATTAAAAATTGATTAAGAAAATTAAAACTATCATTAAAACTATAAAATAATGTAAAAGTTAAAAGACCACTTCCTTACAAACTGATGAAAAACAGTGTATTAAGAAAGTTATTAGAATGAAAATATAAATGAAACTAAAATAATTCACGAACACACTACATCAACACACTGCCAAGCATTTGACCTATTTTAAGGTCATCATCAAGGCCTATATTATTTCACATTTCGAAAACATATTTGTACAATTGATTAAAAATTGTTTTTAATTTTTTGAAATGAATACAGGACCTGATGATGACCTTAAAATATGAAGAAAGCTTGGCAGTAACAACTGAATTTGCTTTTTGCTTCAAGACTATAATTGATCTAGAGTGTTTATGAGTGAAAATGTGGTCGATACTTCTTACATTGAAATAATTCTAAAATTAATATTACTTGGAACTTATAATGAAGAGAAAAATACAGCATAATAACTAGGAATGATGTTAGATTGAATTAAGGACAGGCAATCTTTTTCCGCATAAAATTTCTTGTATATATATATATATATATATATATATATATATGTTCAATTAATAAACTTAATCTTTTTATGTAAAGTTTTGGTTGAAATGAAAAAGTTAGTGTCACAAGCGGGATTCGAACTCACGACCTTCGGCTAAATACGCCGCTGCTCTAACCACTTGAGCTGTTGGTATTGGGTTGTCCGGAAAATAATGCAGGATTTTGGTATTAAACAAAAAAAAAGAAACTAGTTACTTTAAAGCAATGTTCTTTAATCAAAATAATTTCCNACAAATGAGTAATCCTGTAAACGTAAACAGAATATTTTATATAGATTTTTTTTAATGAAAACTTAAAATCCTGCATTATTTTCCGGACAACCCGATACTTCGATCCACTCGGACACCAACTCCCCCACCTCAACCTACAACCAATCGAATTTTCCCTACTTTTGCCATTTTTTAAATGTCGAGTAATCAGGATTCGATCGGCGACATATGAAATGGCCAAAAGTTGGGACATTAAATATACATCATCACCCGATTCAAACAAAGAAGTATGGTCACAATCACTCCCCAAGAATACTTGATATTCCTCGGGCGGGGTTAAACAACCCCTTCTTTTAACGCTAATAAATTAAATTCATTCCAACAAATTAACATAAACACAACACCCGATACAAACATAGAAGTTTGTCACATTTACTCAAAGTATATTCCTTGGGGCAATTTTTCTTTTAAAAAATTGCGTTTATTTAACATTTCATTCATTGCTTTCTCTTCCTTTTCACTAATTTAAAGAAGTAGCTATATTATATTTAACACAAGAAAAATGTAGACAGATTTAACATTTCATTTTTTAGTAGTGAAGGATTCACACATTCTATAAAAGAAATTTTCGAAAATTCGTATATTCTAAGCTACTCTTGGTCTTTGGAACGACTATGTCTGTATAAAGTTGAGATATATCGAACACTTTTTAACTCACGCATATTCTGGATCTTGATATAGTCTGGATGAAAAAACAAATTAAATCGTTACTGCCAAGCTTTCGAGTTATTTTAAAGTCCTCATCAGGGCCTCACAAAGTTTCTGTTTAAAGTTTAGATGTACCGTACTTTTTTAACTCACGAATAATCTTGATCTGATGAGGATTTGATCTGGCTAATATGATCTGGTTGAAGAAACAAATTAAATTCCCTAATTTCGTGGTCCGCTTGACCAATTAATATATTACAATTAATTAAGGTTTTTAGTTGAAATAAAAACGTCAATGGCATGAGCGGGATTCGAACATTTGTCGCCGAGAATCCAATCAGATTACATGACATTTGAAAAATGGCAAAAAGGAGGGAAAATTCAAAAGGTGGGGTTGAGATGGGAAGTTACTGTCCGAGCGGATCGACGTCACGATAGCTCAAGTGGTAGAGCAGTGGCGTATCTAGCCAAAGATCGTGGGTTCGAATCCCGCTCGTGCCATTGACTTTTTTATCTCAACTAAAAACCTTAATTAATTTAAACAAATTAAATTTTTACTGCCAAGTTTTTGGGCTATTTTAAAGCCATCATAGGGGTTTACATGTATCGACCATTTTTTAATATACGAATAATCTGAATTTTAGTGTTTTTTTATTTAAAGAATCTACTTTGCAGAAAGAGTATTTCCTCACTGTAATATATGTATGTATTAAAAAAAAAATTATATTTTTTGTTTACAACAGAAGTAGATGGAGACGTATGTGACTGTACTAGACCTTGTTCCCTTGGTAAGTGCAATTATATAAAAATAAAGGTTTCGAAAATATTCAGCAAGCTGTTTAACAGATTTGTCCATCGATCAGAGGTCGTACACAGACGAGAGAACAACGAACCGTCGTAAGTATTAATTTAATTAAACCTACGAAAAAAGGCATTGAGAATAATGGCGTTTTCTTATAGTAACAAAGGAAGAAGTCTTGATCCTGGAAAATGCGTTGACGTCAGCGAAGCAAAGTAAATTTTCCATACAATTGAACAGACAACTTTTATAAAGGAATGAATTTTTTCAGAGTTAGCATATCAACTGGGCAGTCCTTTCCCTAGCCGGTCATCATGTAAATGTGGTAAATATACTATTCTTAATATAAAAAAAAAATACTGATAATCTTTTGTGTAAAACCGAACTAAAACCAAGTGAAAAGAAACATAACAAGATTTAAAATATTGTGTAAATAAAAATAAAAATGTTGATAGTACTTGGGTTTGAACCTCAAGTCTTTCTACATCCGTCTTTTTCAAAAATACTACCGGGTTGATTTGGTCCTATCATGGTCCATCATGGTCATATGATAAGTTAAAAATCTCCATTAAAGAAAGTAGAGTGTGAAAATAAGGTTTCTATAATTGATTATAAAAGTTTTCAGATTAATTAATTATAAAATATTGTATTTATATATTGTTAAGTTAACTAGTAATTTATTATAATAACGCTTTTTTTCAAAAGAAACTGACGGCGAGGTTTGTAATTGTACAAGGCCGTGCTCGCTAGGTACGCAAAACGGGTTATCAGAGTAGAGCAAATTAGTTATACAAGGTAATATCTTTTGCCAACAGACTTGTCAACCAGGAGCAACAGCTTGGATGATAGAAAAGGGTCATTGATGCAAGGAGGTAATAATTACTGTTAGTAGGGTCCAGGATAATTAGTTATAAAACTTATATGACCATTTGTTTCGCGCAGATCCGAACGTATATATAATGTAATAAAGATTTAAGCAGTGGGTAATGAGTTTTGTTTTAGGTCAAGAGAAAGGATATGCCAGTGCCAGCAGTAGCAAATTTTGCAAAGAGTGTGGTAATTATTGATACAATTTTAAGAACTTATTTAATCATAAAGGAAAATAATAAATGATTCGATCTCACATGTCAATTAACATTAAAGTACTGATTAATTAATATAATAGACAATGTTTAATGCTGAAGAATAATTGAATGTTGTGGCATACGAAACGACTTTTCTTCAGATCTAAGCAGAGTTATACCGGAAGTAGTCTTCTTATTCTTGGTAGGCTAAGCACAATCGCACTCTTTGACTCCTCTGGGCTCGTTTTCTAATCGTGTTCTTGATGTTCATAACCTTCTCTAATCTTTTACACAAAAATGTCTGTAAATCTCGAGAAAACTATAGAATCCTTATGATGTCCTTATTAATCAATCGGTTCGCCCTTCATTTAGATCAGGCACCTCGTGTTCAGTACTATGACTTATGTAGGATATCGCCACCAATACTTTACCCTTAACAGGCTGTCAAAGCGACAAGAGTTTTGATGGTGTGCAGAAGAATAGCAGGAAGAAACTGGGGATGGCGCCCGGAAACCCTGCTATGGATGTACACCATGATAGTAAGAACTTTACTTACATACGGAGCTATAGCCTAGGCTGATAAAGCTGAACAAGGAACTAAAAGAAAAGAACTCACAAAAATACAGAGACTTGCATACATCTGCATAACGGGAGCAATGAGAACATGTCCTACAATTAGCATGGAAAAAATACTAGGATTAATTCCCCTATATCACATGGTAATAAGGACAGCGCAGAAAACCGTCATCAACTATACCAAAGAGAAACCTCCAACAGGAATAAAACTGAAATGGAGAGATATCAATAAACTATGGAAATACCATCCGATACTCATGGCTCCAAGAGACGACATGAACAGGATGTTTGAATTTAACCAAAACTTCCGGATAAACCTGGGTACCAAAAAAGAATGGGAAACAACTCTTTTAAAAATGGTACCATACTCTGGTACACAAGAAGGTACAGGGGCGGGAGTATTTGGACCTGGAACCAAATACTCAGAACCCATGGGAAAATACACCAGTAACTTCCAAGCTGAGATTCACGCAATTGAAAGATGTACCCAACTCAACTTAAGTAAAGGGTACAAAAACAAGAATATAGCTATCATGTCAGATAGCCAAGCAGCCATCAAAGCACTAAGCTCAAATACCAGTAATTCAAGGATGGTGCTGAACTGCAAAACCAAACTAAACATACAAGGTACGCCGAATAAAGTCAGCCTCTGCTGGGTCCCAGGATACATGGGGGTAGATGGCAACGAGAAAGGGGACACCCTTGTAAGAAAAGGGGCTGCTACACCGTCGATAGGATCTGAACTCTTCTGTGCCATAGCAGCCCACACTATTAACGAGCATCTCAGACAGAAGAACAAAAAGAAAATGAGGGAACTTTGGAATTCACTCATTGGACGCAAACAATCCAAGAATCTTCTAACCAATTTTGGTAGGAAAGAAATTACAGAATGTGTCAAGGGAAACAGGAACAAACTGCAAATCTTAATAGGGTTCCGAGCAGGACACTGCAAATTAAATGGACACTTAAAGAAAATTGGAATAATCCAAGATTCTGCAAGAAGGCAGAAGAAACACCAACACATTTACTAACAAACTGCGGAGCCACACTAGCCCGCAGGAGGAAATGTTTTGGGATGTATAATGTGACCATAGAAGAGCTTCAACCATTAAAACCGGGCCTACTAATCAAATTTCTTGATGAAGTTAGTTATTCAGATATCATGAGATGCGGTCGGATGAGATGTAGGTTTCAGAAAAACATTTTCTTTATCGTGCCAACGTTTCGATCTTTTATTGAGATCATCTTCTGGGCCTGGGATTTACAAACAATGTTTACATTTAACAAATACATTTAGGATTTGGAAAAGTGAATTTATACAATGCAAAATATATTTTATATTCAAACAAAGTATTTCTACTAACAAAGTGTTTGTCTTCTGTGTAATTGTGCCATCCTTGCGTGTCGTGTTGAGAGTGCCAGTGAGATTTTGCTGTTTTATGTTTATATATGTTTGGTTTTGAAGGGGTGGGGAAGGAAGTCGGTATATAAAAGACAATTTTGTGTAAGGCACGAGCATCAAAAACATCAAGTCCTTAACACAAAATTTATGCCAGGATGAGATTGACAAAAGTCAACTAGATATAAAAACAGCGTCAATATTTCCCGTCAAGATCCGGAATTAGGCGCACAAAATTTGGATTTTGTACTAACAATACGATCAATATTCGCATTGTCGACGGTTTAATGTTTGGTGTCCGATAATTTGTTTTCTCTGGCCCGCCTTTGTCAATCATGTCAAGAATACTTGCAATATCAGGAATAGTAATAAAATTGCAGAGTTCTTACCGCTTGCCAAAACTTTGTCATTTTTTAAAGTCCGATGGCACCATTGTTTTCTGCGAAAATAAATCATTTAACTGTCAGGATGTATAAGAACATATTTGAGGTTTTGAAGTTAAACTTGAGGTACTCTATAATGGCAAAAAGGAGGGAAAATTCAAAAAGTGGGGTTGAGATGGGAAGTTAGTGTCCGAGTGGATTGAGTTCACGATAGCTCAAGTGGTAGAGCAGCGGCGTATCAAGCCGAAGATCGTGTGTTCGAATCCCGCTCGTGACACAGACTTTTTATCTCAACTAAAAACCTTAATTAATTGAAAAATATTAATTGGTCAAGCGGACCACGAAAACTAGTGAATTTAATGATTACTTTATAATTTTTCTCCAAAAAAGGTAAAAATTTGAAACTAGACTAAAAATATTAAACACGTATTTTTGTTTTTTTGATAGCGTCATTGTTTCAAAAGAAATTCTAACAAAANTATATATATATATATATATATATTTGTCAACCAATGACCTCTTCCAGACGGATCTTGCGATCCATGTCCATAACGATTTTTTATTCTTTCATTTAACGAAAAAAAGTTTTAATTTTCTTTAAATAAAGCACTTATTAGTAGTAGTAATAGTAGTAGAAGTAGTAGATTTGATGATGACGTGGTTAAATAATCTTTTCCAGTCCGTTCATACGATAGGAGTCTCACCACGAGGCAATAATCCTTTCCTAAACCACTGGTCCTTGTTTCAACAAAAGAAGGTCATTTAGGAAACTTTAGTTGCTTAAAAAACTCCAAGTATTTTGCGATTACGATTTCGTCGATCTTAATAAACATTTATTTAATATTACATTTATAAATACAATATTTCCCTGATACAAAAGTAAAAGTAATTACAAAACGATCAACGAAAGGTCTCCGAAGAGTGAGGATTAAGAGAAAGTTTAATTGCGCCTTTTTTATTTCAGGAAACACAGAAAGCATTTGTAAATGTTCGAATTTTCGTTCTGTTGGTAAATAAAACATACTTCAAAGATATTGATTCACAATACTGACCATAATTCTCCACAGATTTGAGAAAAGTTACTACGAGAGACCCAACCACATCATCTAAACTAAGTAATTATTATTGTTAAATACATAGAGAATATTATTTAAACATTTTACGTGCAATAAGTCGGTCAGTAATCTTGTGATAGTTTCGTTTACAGAAAAAAGGCCAAATGGTGACCGTCCCCATTGCCCCTGCGGTAAGTATAAGAAAATTGATGAAAACATTATTGAATTGTGTTTACTATTAGTGGTCCAGGAATAGAATAAATGTGTAATTTGGAAAATTGCATTTTCAGAAGCAGACGGCGATGATGAGTGCAGTTGTGACGGGTGTTCACTTGGTAAATAAAAATTCAAATTTAGTTCTAAAAATTATTTAGTAATTTTTCATTGCAAGATAAATTCTTGTAAAATATATTGCAATTTAGGTAGATTGAGGTGGGAAGTTGGTGTCCGAGTGGATCGAAGTTGCGATAGTGCAAGTGGTAGAGCAGCGGCGTATTTATCGTGGGTTCGAATCCCGCTCGTGACAATGACTTTTTTTCACTGACAACCAATACGTTGCATAAATATTTATTCAGATATCGTGAGATGCGGTCGGGTGTGATGTAGGTTTCAGAAAAACATTTTCTTTATCGTGCCAACGTTTCGATCTTTTATTGAGATCATCTTCAGGGCCTGGGATTTACAAACAATGTTTACATTTAACAANATAAATTCACTTTTCCACATCCTAAATGTATTTGTTAAATGTAAACATTGTTTGTAAATCCCAGGCCCTGAAGATGATCTCAATAAAAAATCGAAACGTTGGCCCGATAAAGAAAATGTTTTTCTGAAACTTACATCACACCCGACCGCATCTCACGATATCTTAATAACTATAGATTAACGGTCACTAATCTCTACACACCTTGCATAAAGATTAATTAATTGAAAGAAGTTATTTTGTCAATCGGACCACGAAATATAATGGATATATTGGCATGGCTGAGTAAATAATTTGAGAATATGATACACATCCCCCAAATAAAAGGACAAATCATTCCGTTTTCCGTCTTTTAAAAATTATCCGAGAACTCTTTACCCAATTTCAAACTATAAACCTTATTCATGATACGAAGTTCGTTTTCTGTAATTAACACTGAGCCATACACACCGACCGTTACACGTTTTGGACACCATCGTTGGTATGGTATGGCTGGGTGAAGAAGGATACTAGGAAGCGGGGTTTGCACTCCCCAGGCACTTCAGCCTTCTGGCTTATTGTACCTTCCTAGTTCCTTAATTCAGTGCAATAGACTCAATCCTTCTTCTTAGAAGTATCAGGTCACTGCCTGTCGCTGTTGCAATTTGATTCCCTAAGTTTTTTCCGTACGTAGGTTAAACCTCCATTGAGCTGTTGCTTCCCATTCGAAGATGATACGAGTGGCTGTTTCCTCCTCCTCATTACAGAATCTGCAAATGGGATCATCGCTGTATATACCCATGTTGTGTAGATGTTTTCTCAGATGCCAGCGACCGGTTAGTAGTCCTACCACACCTCTGAGTTTGGCCCTCTCCAATTGCAGCAGTGCTTTTGCCAGCCTTGGTGAGGGTTGTTTCATCATACGTTTACTATGTCTAGCACCGCTAGAGTTTATCCACTTCTCCGTTTGTTTTGCTTGGATCCATTCTGCGATGGAGGATTCTATATTTGTTCTTGTTATCCCAAGAATAGGCTCGGGGCCTATGTATGATCTTGCAGATCCTCCTCTGGCCAGTCTGTCTGCTTTCTCGTTACCCAAAATTCCCCTGTGCCCTGGCACCCAAGATATCATCAGATTGTTGTGTTTCCCCAGGTTTTGGAGATTTTGGATGCATTCACTGACTAATTTTGATGTGATTCTTTTACATGCTAATGATTTAATGGCTGCTTGGCTATCTGATCTTATGAGGATTTTTTTGGGGCACTATCGTTACTACCGTTGGGTTGAAGTAGTATTGTTTTGGATATCTCTTAAGAAGTTTGTCGGATATGGCATCTGGGATTGTGTTTAAGCAAGAAAATTCATATCCCAACTCGTTCTTAAATCCACTTATTCATATACTCCATATGAGTATAATCATATACTCCAACACTCCTCTGTGTTTACAATTTATCCTATTCAAGATGCTGCCCGATGAAGTATACTGGCACTACTCCTGTACACCGCCATAGACGATATTTCTGTTACTTCGACTCCGATATACATCTAAAAACTCATTGCGAACACCACCTCTAGTTTCTTTGAGTTAATGTACTGCTGTCCTTCCAGAACATCTCTTAATTATTTGACCAGATATCGGGATCTGAAGCTACTGGGGAAACGCAAAAGATTAGGTCCTGATTAATAATAACTCACCCAACCGTCTAGCTCATTTAGTCCAAGATTTTTCTACGCTTTCCGTTTATCCTATCCACGGTGTTCCTCAATAAAGTAACTGTCTTCACCGCTTACACCGTAACGTAAGACATTTCCCGTCACTTTCAGTCCATCATGTGACAAGGACATTGCGTTGTGGTACCATCGCTATTACTCTTCAGCTGCTCTGGCCGTCTCTGAAGCATTTTATTGAAAATCCTTTATTTCCTTACACATTATTGACTTTTCCCATTATCTTGAGAACATAATACATAAGGGGTGTCCTATTATAGTAAATTGATTCTATTATAATCCATGCTCACTCGAACACCTCCATACCCTGAAACCAGCGCTTAGCTCTTGAAGAAACAAGTTTAATGAAAATAAATCCCACATGAGTGTGTAACTACATCCCAATTGCTATGGACTATCATATAGAAATTACACAACAGCAACTAACTGTTCCATTGTGTCCAGTTCCTCAAATCATAGGATCACATCCCGACACATTTCTTAATTCTGAGAAACTATAATGCCATGACAAATGAACATCTCACTTTAGACTACTTTAGAAAGGAGGGGTATTCACGAGATTTGTAAAATGTAACTCTTGTTAACTCGAAAAAAGAAATATCCGGTAGGATCGTGAACGCCCGCTTCTTTTCTTAGCATGTTAAACGTTAATTTGTCCGGAATGCTGCGCGTGGCGATTGGTAAAACCAAAAATAAAGGTATAACAGTCTTTGAAGGCCGACATACTTAACTTGTACCCTAATGTCTAACAGCCTACAACTTTATAGGATATGGGATATATCTCTTATGATGAGAATATAAGGATAGGTCAGAAATTAACAAAGGAATGTATTGGTCTGATTTAATTAATGCGTATTTAAGAATAAAAATACGTTTAAACAAAAAACTGCTGTTAAATTAATGGCTGCCATATTGGTTACCTACGCCCTAACGGCTAGCAACGTGACTACATTTTCGACCTAACATCTAACATTGGCCCTGGCCTGTTAGATCGAGCATATTAACTAGCCGATTCTTACAAGTCCACGTGATCATTTTTCTCGATCTAACAAGACCTAACAGAGTTAACAGGGTTAACACTAAGATCATGAATACCCCTAATTTCTTCCTAACAGAACATGGCGTGCAGTAGAAAATCCTTTGAGTGAAACATAGACCAATATCCACCACCATTTTTACTAATTGTTCATAATTCTTTATTTGATTTTTTTAAGCAATATTTTTTTAATTTGACCGTTACCTATTACATACGTTTATCTTCGCTGGGTTGGTTTGTAAGACCCGTTTCGACATTTTGCAATCTTCAGTGTGACTTTTTCTTTTTATAGCTGGATATTCTATTAGCCCAAGGAGTACGACAAGTCCTGATACTACAAGAGAGGGTAAACGCCCATTTGCTATAACGATTTATTATTTGATAATTAAAATGCAGACGGTTTCAGAGAAAGAATTTTCTTGCTGCAGTAAACGAAGTTCTTTAAAAACCGGTAAATTAATTTTTTCTCGTTATCAAAAATAAAAGTAGACACTTTTTCGTGCTATTTGTAAACGTCATTCAATTATTTATTTTCTTTTGAACCAAGGTACGCCCTCAAAGCGTCCGAGTGCGGATGAAACGTATTACTCAGGTACTGGTAAATATTCAATTATACTTTAAGGCGGAAAATATAATATTCTGAAAATGATTTTTCAGGCAGAAATGGGAGTTCTTTTGATCGGAAAACGTCACCTAAATATGGTAAGTGCCTTTTTGTCAAATCATAACGATTGGTCAACATTAAATCCTATAAAAGATGTTACTATTGTAGAAGAAAAATATAAATCTCCATCAACACAAGGTAATGACATTATTTAAATTGGTAACGTTAAGCTAATTAAATCATTCAACAGTTCATAGTGTAGGAGAAATATATAATGATCTGCCCACTACATCAAAACAAGGTAAATGACGTTAATTAAAATGATAATTATATGCTAATTAATTCTTTGAACAGTTCCTATTCCAGGAAAAACGTATCCTGATATGGTCAATGAAGCAAAACACGGTAATGACATTATTTAAATTGATAACGATATACTAATGAATTCTTTGAACAGTTCCTATTCCAGGAAAAACGTATCCTGATAAGGACACTGCAGAAAAACATGGTAATGACATTATTTAAATTGATAATTATATTTTAATGAAATCTTTTAAAAGTTCCTATGCAAGGAAAAACGGAACATGATACGGACACTGCAGCAAAACATGGTAATGACATTATTTAAATTGATAACGATATGCTAATGAATTCTTTCAACAGTTCCTATTCAAGGAGATATATTTAATGATACGAGCACTGCAGTAAAACATAGTAAATGACTTCTTTTTTTTTAAATTGAGAGCGATAAACTAATGAATTATTTAACAGTTCGTAGCCTAGGAGAAATATATAATGATCAGCCCACTACTTCAAAAAATGGTAAATGACGTTACATAAAGTCATAACGATATGTTAATGAATTCTTTCAACAGTTTCTATTCAAGGAGAAATATATAATGATACGGACACTGCAGCAAAAGATGGTAAATAACCGGTTTCTAATTGATAGCGATAAATTAAGGAATTATTCAATAGTTTATAGCCTAGGTGAAATATTTAATAACCCTGCAAATGTAGGAAAACTTATTAAATAAGTTTTGTTCACCATAATAACGATAAGCTAATGATTTTTTTTTCAACCGATGGCCCAGGTAGAAAAGAAAGTGCTCATGGACGAAATTCAACGCCACGAGTTTGTAAGTTACATTTTCTTTTATTGATAACAATAAGTTGATGAAGACTTGATAGATTTTAATGGATTTTCAGCTATCTCGAGTAATAATGTAGCTCCTGATGTTTCTAAACTTGCATCACGACCTGGTAAGTAATACAGAATGGAAACTGGTATTTTCTAAAGGATTATTTAACATTTTTAATGACGAAATTTATTGAAAAAAGGTAAGTACTCACGTATAACTAAAAAAAGTGCTGAACTTTTTTATTCACCAGTAGTCCCAGGTTCAATGGGAAATCAAATTAAAATCTGGTAAAACTACACAACTGTTCATAGAACCTAGAATTTTTAACCAATTATTTCAACAGGCTCAAGAGACTCAACTAGTGTTTCTAGTCGTAGGTTAAAATCAGGTAAATATCTATTCACGGATTAATAAAGTATTTAAAATAGGATTAAATGTTCTTATTTTTCCATCAAGTTTCTTTTCCTCAAAACGAGGAACTTCCTGGCACGTCCCGACTCGGTAAGTTTTCTCTATTCGAGCAATTGAACAAATACATGATCAATAATATTATTTCAACAGGTGAAAGCAGTAAGGCCAATCTTTATGCAACTTCAGTTTCATACGGTATAAGTCTATATAACAAAGTAAATGGCGTTTAGTTTTTATTATTTTATTTTTTCAATAGTTACGACATCAGGATGTTTTCACGTGGACAAGTCATCAGCCACCGATAAAGGTAGTCAACTTTGAAAGCATTTTGGCTTTTCCCATTGACACAACAATATAGTCGTTTTCAAGCCTGGAATCCCTATCATCTTTCTTGTCTGCCAGAAGCGTCTAGACATGTCGCCATCTTCAGAGGTCTATTCACTTTACTTACAACCCTGAAGAGCACACAAAGTGAAGATGGCGATGTGGCGATGCGTGTCTGATGGACCAAGAGCTGCAAACAAAAAAACAACGCATAACCATAGTTTAAATTAAGATTGTATTTAGTTCATTTAATTACACCAAAACAAGGAAAAGGATGGCCAGTGAATAAATGTCAATACTTCAGAATCCTTAGTGTCAATTGGACTAAAAGGTCCTTATTGCATAAAGTCTTACTCTCAATTGTTTTCGGAATATTTCATTTTTAAGGATATTTCAAACTTTCAGAACATTATTCCATAAAGTCCACTGTTAAAAAATTACCAGAAAGGTTTAAAAATTTCAACTAAATGTTCAAAACGTCTACGTTCTTGAAGAATACATGTCTGACATTGTTTTCTGACAGATTTGCTGCTTTTAAGAGTTCATCCTGATTTTCTATGTTTTATTTAGTACCAAAGTCTCTTTTCAGTCTCTTTCAAACTTTGTATTACTTTACTAATTGCTAAATAGAAGTTTCAAAATTTTAACGAATAAGATTTTTGAAACGTCTAAAACGGAAAAGTTTTTTCCTTTTATTAATTATTCAGAAATCGTGAGATGCGGTCTGGTGTGATGTAGGCACTCTCAACACGACACGCAAGAATGGCACAATTACACAGAAGACAAACACTTTGAGCCCTGAAGATGATCTCAATAAAGATCGAAACGTTGGCAGGATGAAGTAAATGTTTTTCTGAAACCTACATCACACCAGACCGCATCTCACGATTTCTGAATAATTATCGATTAACGGTCTCTAATCATCACAAATTTTTTTCTTTTATTAATCAAACGTTAATTTTACATTATAGATAAGAGGGCCGCGTTGGTAGAGTGTTTAGGAAAGTCCGAATCGTATTAGCCCCGCTAGCGATTCTGGGTTCGAATCCCGGTGGAGCCCATGAATTTTTAATTGATAATGGCATGAAAAATGTATTGCCCCATATATTGGCCCTTTCACAGGAATTTCAATCTAATTTTACATTGGAAATAATTAACATTTGAAAAATTAGGTACAGGTTTTTATAGCCGATTAGTATGGGCAGCCTTTCTGTACAGAACCAAGATAATCCTAAGTAAATTTTTAACAAGAACTTGGAAAATCGTAAACCCTTATTTTCTAAGTGATTTTGGTCTAACCCAATTTACAGTTAGATTAACATTTTATTACATACGTGGGACGTAATGGAATAAATATGTGAAAAGTTGAAGTTACCTGAAAAATAAAAGATCTCGAATATAATTGAGAATCCGACTTTGGGCAATAAAGACTTTTCATAGATAACCTCCTAAAGTATTTATGTGCTCACGAAACACCCTGTGCATCACAGATGAGATTTTAATCATTTTGGGCACTAAAAAAATGCTTACTTAACATTGCCATACAAGCTCTTGTCTGATGCATACTTTCATTTATGTAGGAAAAAAGGAAAAGGGACTGTCACCGGAAGGTATCTGGCAATAACATATCTAATAAATTAATAATTTATTAACGGTTGTTTGCAAATCCTTAAAATTTCAGAATCTATCATAATCGACGTCGAACGTATGCCCGGTTTACTAACTGGATCTAAACCATCTGCAGGTGAGTTTTATGCTTCCTTTATATTAGAAAAAACGTTGTATACACACATATCATTTAAAAAAATATTTTATATAATTGTTTTTTGTTCGCTCATTGTAGAAAGTCTACTAAAAAAGGAGCAAGAAAATCGGAAGGGTGGTAAAAAATAATCTTCGATGGCATTCTTTAAAATTGTAATTTTATTTTATAACTTTACTTTTATATTTTGTACCTTTATTTAAACAATTTTTATAAATAACAAAATTTTACTTTTCAGGCCTGCCGTTGATGTTTTTTCACAATTTGTCTCGAGGCCTAGCTGTATGCAGTTAATATTTTTAGGATCTGTGAAGCCTGACGTCTATTTATTTTCAAAATGTACAATAAATATTTCCAATTCATTTGTATATAACTCCTTGCTTATCAAAAACCTCTACGAATTAAATTTCTCTCTTAAAATATTTAAGACTATCGATTGATTATATCATCAAGCAGATGCCCAATGATTGCTCTCCTAGTAGAGGCTCAACTTGGTGTGGAACAAGAGGATAAGTCATCACCCCTACTGTTTTCTTCCTTTACCAACGCTGTTACCTTCTTAAGGTAGGTACCTCAGTTAATTTACTAACATACCTCATATGACTTTTTTACGCGAAGACCTGGCAGTCATTGCTTATTCGTATAAAAAATAAGGGATAAGGTGAATTTGACAGAAAGAAAAACCTTCAAGCTTTCGAGGAAAACATCCTTTACATCAAATTTTTGAAACTATTTCAAATGATTTACAAGGTTAACAAACAAATTATGATCTACTTACACCGATAATACTATTGGTATCAAAAGAATCAGAAGAAAATGGAAAGAAAAAATGATTCAACCCTTCTGCCGTCAAATTTGATCAAACCTACTTCAGATATTATCGTTTTTAAATAGATAAAGTGATACGTTATTAATAATTAATAAAATAGGAGAGTGGCAGTGATAATTGTTTCCTGTCAGCAAGCTAGAAATGTTTCTTTCCCGCATCGGCAGCATATGAATCAGTCCAGTTCCCAAAAAGAAAACAACACTGTCGTTATCTTCATTTTTTCTTCACCATAAAGGGAAATTCTATTTGACATTTGATACATTTAATTATGTATTGAAAATGTGGATGCCCAAATTGAAGCCTATGAACATCGATTTGACCAATCGCGATCCAGATCACGTCGACTCGTTTTCTCAATCGCTATGTAAAAACCATTTTGTATTCACGTCGTCAACTGGGTAAACCTTTGCGTTCACCGTCATGCATCGTTATATTTTTAAATGTATATATGACCTGAATGTACCTAAAGTAGTTGAGTAAGACTGAGTTCTTACCTGCTAGAACGGACTGGCGTGATTAGGTCATTAAAGCGTTTTATCAAAGGTCTTGACTTAGGTCTTGGCAAGGCTTGGATGATAGACCAAAATAAACCTGTTATTTTTGGAATGCTAAAAAAAATTAGACAATTTGAAAGGTTCACATGCCAAGTTAACCAGAAGTGATGCTAAAACTCGGTGTCTTAAGATTAGAAATACTGACGTTTTGTGATCAGTGGTCTTAATACACCTTGGCAGTGATATTAGTTTGTCACGGTTTGTATAGAAATAATAAAAATTCATTATTTGTATCATCTACTTTCGTATAACTTGGAAACACTCGTTTGTTGGAATGTTCCCCAAACCAAAAAGCCACCACATTTCACTACCCAAAGAGGCTATTTGGTCTACAATCTATTTTTTTAGAGAATTTTAGAATATCTCTTATTAAATAGAATTCTTCCAATTCTACAATTTCAAAATTCTTCCTTACCGACACTTTGGATTTGGAAACTGCCAGTCAACAGTGGCAACCCGTCGAAGATATATCCTCTCTTGAGCTGGGTCAGTTCAGACAACTTTCTTGACGTAAGTCATCCTTTTTATTAAGTTTTCTACCTGGGCTTGATGATCAGGCACATGGATATCCTTCCCTCAAACTATTATCTTATACTTTAATTTTATCTTTTATTCTTTTATATCAGGGCAGCGTGCAGTTTCCCATACTGATATTCCATCCCGTTCACAAACGACCCTATGTACCTTTCCAGATCATACAGTAAAGCCAGGAACACACTTACCCGATGCTACGCTATGCGACGCTACCCGATGCTACCCGACGCAAATCCAAACTCCGATTTTCCATAAGGTTGCATTACCCCCGTGCACACCTACCCGATGCTATGCCACGCTAACCTACCCGACGCTCTGCGATCCCCACTGTCCAGATTTGCGTCGGGTCGCATCGAGTACAGTCGAAAAGAACCGGACACTCATATTTTTATTCAAACTACTTGTATTATTGTCGTTATATTAATTACAACATACTTATTTTCATATAAACCAAATTAACTGTGATTAAAAATTAATTCGTTTTTATTTAAAAAATTAATTTTAATGGTTTGGTAGAAAATTAATCAAAACACCGGAATACGATTTTTTGATATAATGAATTTTACTAACAATTTATTGTACTCGCTTCGGCGGTCCATATACTAAAATTGGAACAATTTATTACACGGTTTTGCACATAAAATTTAATTAACAATTTATTTCATAGTTTTGCTCGTAAAATTACACCATTTTCGTTGGGTAGCATCAGAACAGGACACTCATATTTTTTGTAGTTTATTTCAAACTAAGTACATGTAATTTTGTCGTTATATTAATTACAACATGTTATTTTAATGTAAACCAAATTAAACGAGATCAAAAATTCATAAGTTTTTATAAACATTGTTTAATTATGATGGTTAGGAGTAACTTTATTTAAAACAATTAAGTTTAACAAACAATTTATTAGATGGTTGTGCTCATAAAATTTAACTAACAATTTATTACAAAGTTTTGCTCAAAATAGTGCATTAAGAATAAAAGATGCGTGGCGATTGTGATAGTAATTATTGTGATAAACGCTGTGGACTGTACGCGTCGGATAGATGTGCACACCCCACCAAAACGTGACAAGGCGTCGGGTAGCGTCGCATGGCGTAGCATCGGGTAAGTGTGTTCCCGGCTTTATTCTTTCGCGTAACACCAATGCTCAAGATCATCTTTTTCTCTACCTACATGTAATAATTTACATGGTTGGTTGGTGTTTACGTTCATTGAAGGTAATTCCTTATCCGTGTATTATTCTATACTTGATGGTGTACCTCAGGGCAGCGCACTTGCGCCAGCGCTTTAACAGATGTACTCAAACCATCCTCAACCTTTACCCTGTCTTTTGCAGACGATACAACGATCCTTTCAAGTAAACCTGATGCTGTCGTTTATACACTAAACCTTTAACCACACCTCGCACTAAGGAGACTTGTGAAAAAGTCCACAATATCCACAAACGTTTGTCGCGGAATCCCCACACAAGAGTAAAACGTCAAAAGGTTGTAACGCGTTACAGGTTTCTTACACGACTTTTTATTAAAGGCTCTAACTTTCCTCTCACAAATAAAAGTTTGCTTTTGTGACATCTTAGTAAAACCGATATGGACAACACTGATCCTGTTCTTTCGCCTTGAAAAAATTCTCGCTGCTTGCATCATTATCATCTTACACCGTTGGAATCTTGGTGCAAAGGAAAACGTTTCAATTTAAAATAAATGCGATAAAATCCATCTACATAACCGCTACACTTTGTAGAAATTATATTACAAGTTTTTTCCTCAACAGCGAACAAGGTCCGATACTTTGGGGGTTCATAGACAACTGACTGACGTGAACCCATGCACATGCCTTAAACGAAAAAAAAACTTATATAAAATTTTGTTACAACTACTCGACGAACAAACTAATCACTGCCCAACAAAAGAATACTTATAAACTCCATACTGAAACCAATACGGACATACAGACTTGAAATTTGGAGTTCAGCCATACGCACAAATTCCGTACACAAACTGGCTGATAATCTTCAAACAGTTCCTGGACGATCAACTTTCTGTAACAAAAGTTACTTGCGAACTAGTTTTGTTGTGAAGCTGTTGAGCGCTACGGATTCTCGGCAAGGCGATGGCTGCAAGCCTTGTAGGATGTGTGTAGCGGTGTGCCCAATCGAGAGAGCCTTTGGCGAGTGCCAATGTGCCATATGGTTGTGTAAGTCGATGAAGTCGTGTTCAGGGTGTAGGACATCAGCTGTTAGTTACGTCTCCTGTCGATGTGTGCTTTTGAGACCTGTTGTTTATGGCTTGTGTTGGTTAGTTGCTCCATTAGTGAGAACACGTCTCACTTAAGCCGGGAACACACTTACCCGATGCGACGCACCCGACGCCTTGTCTCGGTTTGGTACGGTGTGCACATTCGACGTAAATCGCCCGACACGTACAGTCACACAGCGTGGATCATAATAATCACTATCACAGTCGCAACGCCTCTTTTCTTCTTAATTCACTATTTTGAACAAAATCATGTAATAAATTGTTAGTTAAATTTTATGAACACAACCATGCACACATTGTTGGTAAAATTTAGTTGTTTTAAATAAAGTTATTCCGGTGTTTCGATAAATTTTCTGCCAAACCATCAAAATTAAATAATTCTTATAAAAACTCATGAATTTTTGATCTCGTTTAATTTGGTTTACATTAAAATAAGCATGTTGTAATTAATATAACAGCAAAATTACATATACATAGTTTGAAATAAACTACGAAAAATATGAGTGTCCGGTTCTGACGCTACTCGACGAAAATGGTGTAATTTTATGAGCAAAACCAAGTAATAATTTTATGAACAAAATCATGTAATAAATTATTAGTTAAATATTATGAGGAAAATAGTGTAATAAATTTTAAGTGAAAAACGATGTAATAAATTGTTAATTAAATTTTATGGGCACAACCATGTAATAAATTGTTAGTTAAATTTAGTTGTTTTAACAAAACGTTATTCCAGTGTTATGATAACTTTTCAGCCAAACCATCATAATTAAATAATTTTTATAAATACTCATCAATTTTTGGTTAGTTAAATTTTATGGGCAAAACCATGTAATAAATTGTTAGTTAAATTTTATGGGCACAACCATGCAGCAAAATGTTAATTAAATTTTATGAGCAAAACAATGTAATAAATTGTTGGTTAAATTTTATGAACAAAACCATGTAATAAATTGTTAGTTAAATATTATGAGGAAACTCGTTTAATAAATTTTAGTTAATTTTATGAGCAAAACGATGTAATAAATTGTTAGTTAAATTTTATGGGTACAACCATCTAATAAATTGTTAGTTAAATTTAGTTGTTTTAAATAACGTTATTCCAGTGTTATGATAAATTTTCATCATAATTAAATAATTTTTATAAATACTCATCAATGTTTGGTAAGTTAAATTTTATGGGC